GTTTTCCCGCGCGAAACGAGGGATCACACCGAGACGGAGATTTCATTTGAATTAGCGCGGAAGACCGCCCTCGAAATATACTCACCGCTCCCCGGCGGGGGCTTTTCCAACGATTTCTTCCCAAGACACCCGTACCTTCTTCTTCTTCTTTTGTTGTTGTTATTATTTTTTTTTTCCCTCGAATTGGAAAAAATTAAAAACGTCGCGACAGAGAAAGCTCTCCCCAACCCTCTCGCCGCAAGCTCTCTCTTTTTTTTTCCTTCCCGGCGTCTCTTTACCTTTGCTCCGGGAAATTCAAACGCCGCCTTTTTTTCCTCGGCGCAAAAATAAGCAGACCAAGAGGCAAAGAGAGAGAGAGAGAGAGAGAGAGAGCAAAGGAACCCGCGAGTGTAAGACAACATAAGCACCAGGAGAGGCCGCTTTTTTTTTCTCCTCTATTTGCGCTCGTCGCTCGAGAAAGAAGGCGCGTAATCCTCAAACGGGAGGATCGCTTCAACCAATTATCGACAGCGCCGTTTGATCTGACGCTCGAGCGATACACTTTGACTGGCGCTACCACCACCGGAGCTTTGTTGATTTTTAAAACTCTCGCGAGAGAGGTGCGTTGGGGGAGGGAAAAAAATATGCGACTCTCAAAGGACGAAGGGAGGAGCTTTCGACTCGTTAGGATTTTTCCTTCTCCTTTCCGATCCTGAGACCCATCCAAATTGGCCTCTGCTCGACTTGGACTGTAGACACTTGTCGTTGATCGCGCAAACTGCGCATCCACATATTATACCATGGACGCTGTTTTCGTCGAAAACTCCACGTGTGCAAACAAATCATTGAAATCGAGGTGCAGTAGGCAACCACAGCTATCCACGAGCGCCCCCCCCCCCCTGCAGATTAATTTCATTATGAATGTTAGCCCAACACTCGAGATTCGCGACCGGGCGGTCAAACACCCTTCAGTTTTGTTCCCCTATATACCCCTGCCTGACGTTCGGGCACACGCGACGCTTGGAGATTAAATCGCCGGGATGCTCCTACCCTCCGCGTGTACTCGAAAAGCTGCGCTTTTTGCCCCTCCACTTATCCCCCGCTCTATATTTCGGTTGGGTTTTTTTTTTTGTTTTTGCAGCCGAGCGACGTGCGTGGACCAAATACACCTACACCCCGGAGAGGGTGAAGGGGATGAGATGCTTTTCGATCCCTTTTTGCAACTACTCGCTCGAGCTTTGATTAATCGTGTTTTTGCTCGATTGAACTTCAAATTTGATTTTTCCCCACTGCGCGATACGCTAGCTTTTTTTTTTTTTTTTATTTTCATTTTATTACATTCTTTTTTTTAATTACACTGCAGCATCAATGGATATGGAAGGGCTTCCGGCGAGTACAGTAATTCAATTATCGGATGGATTTTTTAGTTATCGGTTTAATTCACGAATAACGGCAGCGTGTACGTGGCTTTTTGTTTTTATTATACCGTTACAGCGTAAAAAAAAAAAAAAAAAATCTAGTAATCTATTTTCTGGTGCACTTTAACAATAGTTTTTTTGCTTTCTCAGGCTCACTGGTGGTGCTTCGAAAGAAAGAAAAATCCTAAAAGCTCCAACAAGGGAAAGAAAAAAGAAACGTAAAATGAGTCAAAAGGTGGGCGTGGTTCGCGAGAAAAGGTCGTTCGCACAATTTTCCGCAATTTTTCCTTACCACGATAGGGAAGAAGCGTCACATGGACCTGGTCGTCGAAATAATAAAACCTCCGCGTATCCGCCAACAAAGGCGCTCCTTTGGCAAAGACAACGAGAGGAGGACGTTGGAGAGTCTTACTCTTAAAAGCGTGGGTAGGTGGAGCACCGATTCCTCGGAGGCCCGACAGGAGCAGCGCCCCTACCCCCGCGCGCGTTAAAATAGGAGGGATTAGTTCTTACGGGTCTGGGGCACGGGGGCTTAGGCATTGATGAGGTTTTTAAATGGGTTCTCCTTTGATGGTTTGTTCGTCCCGGACTTTCCGGACCAAGTGGCTGCTCGGCGGTAAGAAGCAGAGAGGAAAAAAGATGCTATAGGTATGTGTGTGTGTGCGTGCGTGCGTGTGTGTGTCTGTATTAACATGGGATGAGGAGAGAAAATGGATCGGGGGAGAGCCGTCCCGGGACGATATTTACCGGGAGATTAAAAAATCGAGGGAAAAATTAAGCGTTACGGGGTCGCGTGCAGGAGAACGAGAGAGGCCGAGAGATATATATAGGGCAGCCCCTTCGCGGGACTTGAACTCCAGTTGTAATCCCCCTCGCTAAGATTTTCGGGGAGGCCGATTTTTGCCCCTCTTCCCTTTCTTCACCAACTTTTTGCATCGATTAATCTCCAAGGACGAAGGACCTTTCTTTTTTTTTTTTTTTTTTTTTCCGTACACCGGGTATATACACGCGTAGCACGTGATGCCAATGAGTTGTATGTACCCCCTTCTTATTTTCTTTTTCTTTCGCACACGGCGGGCTCTTACACCGGGATTACACCGAGTTCTTCCATAAGACTCCCCCGACGCCCATCGGATCACAGTATTTTACAATTAAAAGCCCGAGCCGAGAGAGTATACGCGTATACACTTGTGCACCGTGAGTTTTTTCTAACTTTAGAACTGTTTTTCTTTTTTTTCCCCGAGGAAAATATTTCAGCCTAGCTGTCTTTTTTATTATCAATCGCTGTTAAATCACGTTAAAAAAAAAAAAAACAGCCATCTCGTTGTCAAGAGGAAAAAAAAAAATACTCATCTGCTCGTCATTTTACTTGCCGTCCATCCCAGCGATTTTAACGTGAATCAAGTTTCTCAACCCATCCTCGCCAGCGCGGTCCATTCGACGTACAAATTTGTCGGAGAAAGCGAGGAAGAGGGCGCAAGAGGAAGCGCGTGCACGCGTATACGTCACAGCTGTAGAGGCCTTTCCATTAACCGGAGTAAGTGACCCGAGCCCGCGTTTTCTTTGATGTCGGTTAATTTACTAATAACATCGGGTGCTGACCGCTACATGTATACATATATGTGCCGGGCAACGCGAGCCCTCTAAATATTTGTATCGTCAACATGCCACCGCTGCCGTTGACTTGGGTCTTGGGCTTTTCTCTCCTCCTCCGGTTGGCTCCGTCGGCGAATAAAAAGCTTCGTTTCACCAGTGCACGCACACCTTCCAAAAGGCCCGACTTTAATTATCGAGATAAAAACAGAGCTTTTCTCCTTTCGACGCTGGCTTTCATCACATTACACCCTACCCCCCGTTTCGTGCGAAATAGTAATTTTATTACCTCCACCACTGCTGCGGCCTTTGGGCGTTTTAAGCTGATTGAAGGGCTTTTCCGGCCATTCGTGGTGTTTTCTCGTTACTTGAGCAACAGTTTCAACGGGTGCGTCGAATTTTCTTGACTACACATGGCTCTGCCTTTTTTGTCCATCCTCAAAAACGTACGTTGTGGAGACGGGCAAATAAGAAAAAAAAAAAAAAAAAATATCGGAGTGAAAGCCTCCTTACTCGGATCGATGGGAAATGTTCGTGAAAAAGCAAAATCATTCGTCAGGGTGGTTTATTCGCATCGGACACCTGCCTTAACAACAAAAAATGGCCCGAGTGTACCTCCAGGCAGGTGGGGGGGGGGGCTTGAATATTATTCAGATTAATCTAGCGCCGTGCAAAGACCCGATGAGAAAGAGCTTTGCACCCCGAGAGAGAGAGAGAGAGAGGACTGCAGGGAACATCGGGGTATACGTACGGAAAAACGAAGAAGCCGGTGAGCGAAGGAAAACGAGTTGGGGGGAGTTGGTGGCGATTTTTTTCCCTCCCAAGCGGTGTTAGTCGCTCGCCGAGGTATACGGAAGAAGAAGAAGAAGGAGGAACTAAATTTCGCGCGTTAAGCCTTCGGCGTAATCCCGCCCTTAATATTCAAAAACGTGATCGCCCTGCCAAGAGGAGGGAAAGAGAGAAGCAGCTGACCCCGGGCGAGAACGGCCGAACGGGGCTTTTCATATGCTAATTGGCATCCGTCATTTTCTTACGAGCCCCCCCACCCCCTGACTTAAGTGTGCTTAAGGTGAACTCCTTGGCCCTCGCCCCCGAGGCTCCTTTGCGAAGCAAAAGGAGATAGAGAGCTAACCCGTGACCGGAGAGAAAGCGTTTTTCCGCTTTTCATGAGGTACAACTACTCGTGAGGAAGCTATTTCTCCGCATATACGTGGATTTTTGGACAGATAATGGAAAACGAAAGAGGATCTCGATAGGGTAAAACGTATAAAATTTTATTTTTTCAATGTGGTATACGAAGGAAAGGTACATTATTGATGAAACATATATAAAGATTTTAATTTATAAATGTGTTTGTTTATTGAGTAAATACCACGTGAATTAATCTAATTGCAAAATAAGCTTAAATGTTGTAAATACTTTTTAAACAACAACGTGCGGCTACATTTCTGAAAAATGGCACTACTGATGCCATGTTATCTGTAGAGAAAAAAAAAATCATTTCAACAGGCATCACGATGTTACAAGTAGAAAAAAAAAGATTTGAAGCTAAAAATATTCTTTTTTTTAAATATATATACTTTACGTGTTAACGTAAAAATTATCCGCTTTGTACGCGTGGTGTTGGCCTACTTTGTCTGTTAGACCCGAACGCAAAGCACTCTCCTATGCAACAGCTACACCTGTACCTTGTAGAAAAAAAAAAAAAACACTGATTCGAGCGCGAAATACGTCATATTATGCAATATCACGTGCTGGACTATCATTATTATTGTTCTTTTAATCCTTTGTCAGGTGAATATTACAGTGTAAAGCCAAGATCCTGCCGGCCATGTTCAGCGTGCGACTAGTTACAACACAACCGCGTAGTCAAGAGTATACACATATCGTGTACAAGTACAGGCTGAGTCAACCGGCCCCGTTATCGGAAAATACACCTATGTTATACTATCTACGGGTGTAACAGTCACAACCGTGTACCATCGCGCGAGTAGTCACTTTGGCCTTCTCGCGAGCGCCCGTATCTATACCTGTATCCTATACCACAGGTGATTGTACACCAAATTGTACCTACATTACTTACATTTAAACGCGTCACGCACGCGCACGGCTTTTTCATCCACGTATTCGAGAAACCCACATTCGTGTATACATATACATACCATATATTATACGTACAAAAAAGAAATACACAAACACCGAAATGGCTCATCTCACTTATCGCTCGAAAGAGATAGGCATCGCTTATCTAAACCCGCGACAGATAACACAGTGGCGGTAGAATGTGTCAGCTTAGCCTCGCGTTGGCAACGCGCAAGTGTCTCTCCAGGTATTGTATTCTACGATGAATTTTTGTCTCTTTCTCTTACCACGGCAGTGAGTGCGCGTCGTTGATTCTCGCATTACCCCGGTGACATGAAGCTCTTTTTTGAACATTTTTCTGCCGATCGTACGAAAAATCTCCGGAAAAGTGTATTGATTGACTAAACCGATTCGCAACTGCTGTTTGTTGCATTTTCATTGAGGTAAGCACTAAAGAAAAATAAACACATAATTTTATTTTTATTATTACGATGGTTACTATTGTTTAACCAGTTGACCCAAATAGTATACATTTGTGGGATCGAGCGTATAGTTGAAGTAAACAAACATTTTTTTTTTTTTTTTTTTTTTTTTTTTTCGAAATCGAAAACACACAAGTTTTTCGAAAGAGTAAATACCGTGCGTTTTTAACGAAAATTGAAATAGAAATATTAGTTGACATTGCGCTGAAACAAACACGTACATGTTTATTTATCCATCGGGTAAAGCGTTTAATTCCGATACACTGAGATAGAGTTCGAGACCGAAGTCGACGGGTGCGCCGTGATAACAAGTGTACACGCCTCATACTCGACATATCGATCAGTTATTCGGCCGCTTGTGAAACTATTGAGGTACATATTGTTATTGCACCTCGATTTGAAATCCTTATTCCGGGCGTGGTAGTGGTATGAGAAATGACAACTTTTTGGCTGGATATATGACGTTGTGTACCTATACCTACACTATAAAACAAACGGTGTTACTCATCACCTGCAATCAATCTTGACTAACTGAGTCATCCATCGTGGGACTCCATCGCCAATTATAACACCGTGCGTATGGACTCAATATTAAATAACATGCAGTAAAAGCCCAATGACGCAATATCCCTTGCTTCTTTGCTCACGATCATCCTCATTGATACATTTGCGATGGATAAGGTTTCACTGACATGGTTGATTGCGTAAAATACCGAAAAACAGCAGTCCAGTAATCGATGTATTTTGTTTCCATTTTGCAGCCTGTGGCAGTGGAAGAGGTAATGTCGCAGAGTCCTGCAAATGAAACAGCGCGCACAGAGGAGGAGGAGGGCGTTGGACTGGCCGGGCCGGCCAACTCCCTGACGATGGAATCGATAGATTGCGGCTGCGCGCAGTACCGGCTCCAGGGACTGGCCAAGTTCGCGACGCGCCGGGTACTCCTCGCCCTATTGTGCAGCATCGGATTCCTCCAGGCTGCCATCCAGGCTTACTTTTACGTCGCCAGCGCCACCATCTCCCGGAGGTTCCAAATCGATCCCCACGTCATGGGTACACCGCACACACCATCCACCCCCCACCACCGAATCTCCATATACATAAAGCAATTGAAACACATTTCAGGATGGGTGTTGTACGTGTCGGATGTCACGCCTGTTTTGATCGGGTTGGCGGTCGCGTACTGGGGAGACCGGATTCACCGCGCCGCCTGGCTCGGTGGGCTGACGCTCCTGCAGTGCGCCGGACTCTTGGGATGCGTGATCCCTCGCATATCTCGCTGGGACGAACGACTTGTAGACACCGACGACACGACCCACGCTTCCATATACGCGGGTACTTCACATTTTACAGTCACGAAAACAAAAAGAGTAAAAATGTCACGAGTGTAGCCATTTTTTGCCCCCAATAGAAGACAGTCCCGAGCTGTGTTCGCCCATGCTGCCTCTAAGAGCGATCAACAAGGAGGACGTGCCGCGCTACTCGACCCTCTTCCTGGTCATCGTCATGCAGGTTGTCTCGGGAATGGCCCACGTTGCTTACTGCGCCCTCGGGCTCTCCTACCTCGACGACAACACGAAGAAAGTGCACGTCTCGGCTTATTTGGGCGTTGCGATAGCCGCGAAGGTGCTGGGCAACGCCCTCGGCTACCTGCTTGGCTGGTCGTTGCAACGGTACCTATTTTATTGCCTACCCTCCAGATACCAAAGTGCAAAATAACACATCAGTCGCTTCCGATCCTCAGAATAGACGCCGACGATCTCAGTTCCGTGAAATCGTATCGGGATCAGTTTGGCGCGTGGTGGCTCGGCTGGCCGATCTTCGCCGTCCTACTGGCCATCCCCGGCGTCCTAATGGCCATTTTCCCGAGAAAACTGCCATCCGAGGTTTGCCACGTGTGCCGTACACTTATACGCTTGTATACACTAACCATTCGATAATACCCCAATTGGGCACTCGTTTAGATGGTGGAGCAGGCGGCAGCCACGATACTCCACGAATCCGGTACGTTGAGGAACTCGCGCAGGTTGGCGTCGATAAAGGTCGGCAGTACGGCCTTCGTACCCTCCCTGGCGAGACTCGTGACCAACAAGATCCTCGTGTGCAACGTCCTGGCCGCTGTCTTTGTTCTTACGGCGCTGGTCAACTTCTCCGCCAACGAGAACGTCCTGCTCGAGTCGAGGTTCCTCGCGCCACGGCCCACCGGCCGGCTCCTGGGCTTCGGGGATCCTCTGCTCTCGCGGCTGATCGCGAGTAAGGTTTATTTCCTTGAACTTGGAAAAGCCATTCAGATGAGTTGATCATTTTTCTTTTTTTTCTGATTGTTCAGCAATGACGAGGCCACTGTTGATTGGACTGGCGATAGTCGTGGCTGGTTTATTGATCAGACGCGCCAAGCCGGGGTCAAGGACCTTGGTGATTTACAGCCTGGCAGTGCTGCTTTTGTCGGCTCTCGTCGTGCTCGGGCTCGCCTTCAACGACTGCGAAAAAGCGCGCATCCGGGGCTTTCCCAACAGAGGATCGTGAGTCTCCCGTGGCTTGTAGTATTGGGCGTACTCATGATGGATTATTGTCACTTTTCAGGGTCTCTCCGAGGGAGTATTGCAACAAGGACTGCCAGTGTACGCGAGACGCGGACTTTCGTCCCGTGTGCGACAGCAGAGGCGAGTGGACGTTCTACAGCCCCTGCCACGCTGGCTGCACGTCCATGGATAACCAATACGGCACTCAAGTATACTACAACTGTTCCTGCATCGGAGTTGAAAAGGGCGACGCTAGAGATGGGCCGTGCGACTCGGACAGTTGTCAAGCGGGCTGGCTGATACACGAGGTGAGTATACTTTTAGGATATCTGTACGTGTCGAGGGTATAGTAATGGTCCTCCAACTCAACGTGGGCTCCAGATAATGACGATGCTGGTGTACGCCGCGGTAGCTTCGACGGTGGTCGGGGATCTGCTGGTGGTCCTGCGAAGCGTCAACGTCCAGGACAAAGCGCTGGCGATCGGCTACGGGCTGACTATCTTGGGCCTCCTCGCCTACGTGCCGGGGAAGATCGGGTACGACAAACTCGTGGAATCCACCTGCTGGCACTGGGGATTGAGCGTTTGCCACCTCCACCGGCCGAGCTTGGCCAGTTACCTGTGCTTCTTGACGGCCGGATTGATTTTTCTTGGGGCTCTGCTCAAGGTGGCCACCTGGCTGTTCAGCAAGGATCTCGAGATTTACGACCCCATCGAGGAGGAAAGACAACCCGAGCAGACGGAGATGGTCAATGTGGCGAGAGCCCAGGCCGAGCCATTGCTCCAGACCCATGACCCATCGCCTTGGGAAGGAACACCAAGAGACGATCAGGAAGAAGCAGGTGCTTTTGTAAAACTGCTCGCCTAACAAGTAATCAAGTGGCCATTTTTGTTCATCGAAGCATTTTTGTTGATAGGTCCCGAAGTTGGCTCGTTGGATCCGGAAATCGCGGTGGAAAACCCCTTGGGCAAGGCTAACGGTCCAGTCGCGAGTGTGAGCGACGAATGGGAGTCCTCGGGAAGACCAGAGTACGGACAGCAGTCCAAGGGGGCAGCGGAGGAGCCCAGCACCGACGAGGATAGTTCAGACGACGGTCGGAGCAAGCGATCGAAAGTCTCGTACAGACCTCTGGAGCTGGATTCGGATGGCGGGAGCGAGTCCGAAAAGCCGTTGCCGACTTCGAGCCTGGACGAGCTGAGCAGGCCTCCACAGAGAATCCAGCCGTCGGGCGAGAGGCGCTTTCCGAATCCAGAAAACTACGGCGACCCAAGACTAGCCAGGTCCTCGAAGCACAACAGTCCGCAAACTGGGACCAGCGGCTCCCAGGGGGAGCGACCGGTGTCGAAAGGCGACTTCAACGAGATAGGTATTCCACTCGTCAATTCTTACGAACCAAAGGTCGAGGACTCTACAAAGGGATCGCTTCGGTCGCCAATGGTGATGGTCGCGACGCAACATTTGGACGGAACTCCCAGTGGCGAGTTGTTGGATGAAAATCGTTTTGCTTACCGATCTCCGATGACGAGCTACTACGAGGAGATGGAGGAGAACCGGAATTTTCGGCTAAGGAAGCTGATGCAACCCGTGGAGTACCCTTCGCCTTCGCGGGATCAAGCATCTTCTTCTGGTTTTGGAAGTTTTCAGGATCTACGGGATAGGTTGAGGCTGCACGATGACGCGTCAGACTCCAGGGGGAGTTTGAGCTCGAAAACTTCGGACTCTGAGCCACCAAAGAATAAGGGTAGCCCTCTGTGCACGAATTTGTGAGGGTGTCAAAGATTTTCATCGAGCGTCCAAGGCTTTTTGTACTTTTATACAAAGATAATCTAGCCCATTATTGCCCTGTATTTGACAAGTTGTTCATGTCGTACAGTTCTCTCAGATCAGTCGCCAAGTATATACACATGATGCGTTTTTTATATTTATATTGTATTCAAATAAACAATCCACGATCATTCGAGTATTCGAATCATTTATTGCTGAACATTTGCACATACAACCGGCTCTGGACATTTTTTTTGTTTATTATATTATATAGATAGGTACATGTAGGTATTATTCATATTACATATATATATAAAAACAGTCTACGTTGTAGGTACAACGATCAATTTTCTAAAATAACGATGATTTTCGAACATTTGATGGAGAATAATAATATAAAATTTAAAGTAACCTTACATTAACCGTCCACACGTCCGTTTCATGTACACCTTTCAACACACGCGCTTCGCAATCATTCCTGCTTATTTTCAATAACATATATATTTATGGTATGTAACGCATTGTCGACATTTTGACGAATATCCTGGCATTATTTCCAACAATTTTTTTTTGTTTTTTTTTTTGTTTTGTTTTTTTTTTACAAATCACCGGGCTCTTCGGCTATGTTCTCCAGCTCGACCTCCTCGTCGAAAATTTTGACATCCTTGACGTAATACCAGACGCCAACGTCGAATACCGTGCCCACGGTAACGAAAGCTAAACGGTCGGAAAGAAATAAAAAATGATTACTTAATCAAAATTTAAGCCAAAATTAAACGGCAAATAAAAGACGTGTAGCTTACAGGCAGCGGTGAAGTTCAGGAGGTACCTGAGAGTCTCGCCGTTGTACAGCCAACAGTTTCCCGTGCCCGAGCACGTCTTTCCCCACACGAGGCACGTCTTATCTGCCAAACGAAACGTGGGCGTATTTATTAAACATCGCAACATTGTGGGAGTTACGAAAAGACGCGACAAACCTAGAATGTAGCCAAAGAGAATGGGCGACGGTATGAAGGCAAAGAGACTCATGATGGTCAGGCCGAAGCCCATGGCCACCGTCTTGTCCTTCTCGTCGACGCACCTGACCGACACCAAGAAGTTCGATGCCCTGCCGGTCGCGCCGACGAACTTCAGCACGCAAACGACCGCCAAAAATATATAAAACTTGTCCACGCAGTCGATCGGGCAAGCTCCGGGCACCGCGGTCCCAAAGTCCCGCGGACTCCAAAAATCCCCGCTACTCGTCCCGTTTAGCGCCAAACTCGGCTTGATGCAGCTGCACTCCGAGTAAATCTTGCTAGTCGCCTCGCCCGCCTTGGAAAAAAAAAAAAAAAACAACAACATTGCAAAAAATATCGGTACACGGTTGAATGAAGAGAAAAGCCAAACCTTGATGGTCGTGCAGCCAGCGTGGCAGGCGGATATAAAAGTCCGGCCGAGCTCCGAGCAGACGGGGTTGTAGGTGACGTAGTCGCAGTGGCAGTGCTGGTTGCAGGGGAGCAGGGTCTCGAGGGAGCCGTCCTCGGCCACGGCGATCTGCTTGTCGTTGGCCGGGCAGCTGAGAAACGCGTACGATATCATGCCCAGGACGGATATGGCCCCGACCATGACGTTCCAGGCGGCGAGGTAGCGCGCCTTGGGCTTGTACTTGGAGATGACGAGGCCCGACAGGAGGATACCAAACGCGCTGAACACGAGGCCCACGGTGCCGGTGATGAGCGACGACACAGACGCCGACTGCTTGTACTGGGTCTCGATGTACTTGGGCATGAAGATCCAGTAGGGCATGTACCCCATCAGGTAGAACACCGCCGCGAGGTTGTTGCACATGAGGGTCGTGTTGGTCAGCAGACGCTTGAACGTCCTCAGCATGTCGCCCACCGAGGCCGGCAGTTCTTGTTCCTGCTGGTTGGCCGCGGCTTTTAAATTACTCGCTGATTTGTTGCGCTCCTGGGCGAGGACTTTACGCGCGGCTGCACGGGGCAGCGTTTTCGGGAATAACGCCACGACGCTGGCGAACACGAACAGCAGGATGGCCAGGATGATCCAGCCGAGCCACCAAGCCCCCAGCCACCTGCCAATGTTGGAGAAACGAAATTAAATTTAACGTAGGAGGGGGTTATCGTGGGCCAAGAGTGGTCGGACGTACCTTGGGTCGTGCATGGTGATTGTGGGGGTGAGAGTTGGACTGATGTAGAACTTGAGGGCGAAGGAGGCGAGCCCGTAGCCCAGGGCCGGGCCCAGCATCCTCAGGAAGTACGAGAAGCTGATGAGGGCCGGAGTTTTGGATTTTTGGATGTTGTCGTCCATGTAGGATACGCCGAGGGTGTAGTAGAGCGAGCCCCCGATCCCCGAGACGAGCTGGGCTACGAAGAGGAGCACTTGGGGGGCAAAGTTGCCGTCGGCTTCGATGCAGTGGGAGGCGCTCGTGCGGTTCTTGCAGAGGAACTTGCGCTGCTTTTCCGGGGTGAAGCTCGTCGCGTTGGTCGCCCCGAGCTCGAGCGACGGGCCGTACTCTTTCGTCAGGAGCAGAGCGTCCTCGCCGGGACCGTACAGGAAGTGGGGCAACATTGTCAAGCAGCAGAACAGCACGACCTGCGGCATTGCATCACACGCGTCTCTTTGAGTTTCATTTTTTGACATGCATTTTTTCAACCATATGCCTTTACGTGTGATCGTTGGTGCCATTTTGATGATAAACAACTTTATGGCCATTCATTTGCAAGCTTATCGAACAATTTTCAGAGATCGTGACACGGAGATGAGCGAGAAAACGCGAACAACACGTACATGTGTGCATCGTGTAATGTCATAAATCATCCGAAAATTGTGCGCAATCGCTCGCGAGGATCTCTCTCTCTCTCTCTCTCTCGTGGAACCCTGTTAACTGACGCTAGAAGATAACGCACGTCTCTTCATGCCGTTGTACTTTGCCTACGTCACAAACGCGTACGCGAATACACGCAATGTGGTACACGTATATAGCCATCAACGAAGCCTCTTCGCGACTTTAATACACGTGTGTGTATGTACGTGTAAGTCGTGTATTAGATCCCTGATTTGATTTGCATACCGGTGCACGAAAGTGCCGAGATAATAATTTTTTTTTTCTATCACGCTAACATGCCAAGTTGTAATTAATTTTTAAAAGTCATGGTTTAATTGATTTTTTGGTATGCATGGAAAAAGCATGACATACAAGCTACCAACATTGGGCAAATGAGATTTTTTGATTCATCATTACGAGGTGGAGACAATTGATCAAAAGAGTTCCAAGACCAACAGGTATATAGATGTATACTTTGCGAAACATAATTTGTTTTTAAATATTAGATTACATCTCAAATCACGTTCGTACATTTATAGGCCGGATGGTAGAGAGACGGACTTTTAGTGATCCAGTGACTACTGGGTTACTATCTTGATCTTTCAATCTTATCATCGTAAGCACGAAGACTAAGTCGGAAGGCTTTATAAGCTTATGCAATGACGTACAAACAAATATAAATACATGAAACCGTTGCATTCCACACCATCGTATTTGTTCAAATCAATTTTGATTGTGTAATGCAATACTACCGTTAACGACATGTACTTTCAAATGCTTAAAAATTCTGCACCGATTAGAGGACACGATAAGTAAATTTCTAAATTAATAATTCATGTTAATATTCCACGTACAACGAGAGCAATTTTCGATATTCTACTACGCGCGTATGCATAGGACTAACCACCGTAAAAGCACACCTACGTCATATGAATATAATTACAAATGTACTCATGGCTACCAAATATCGTACAAGTAAGACCATCGAAAATCACCGTCGAAACACTCAATCGTACTCAATCAAAGTGAAACATTAGTACTTATCGCGACGAAATCAAATTCCGTGCCCATACAAATTGTGAACCAATTCTTATTTTGATGGAGCGGAATTTTCAGCTTGATAAAGTAGCCTGAGACCGATAGTTGGGTAAACGTGATCTATATTTCAATGATTCCACATCGTGCACCGTACGACTGTACAAGTAAATAAAAAAAATAAATAAAAAAATCCAACATCGTATCTGATAAACTGATGATCCGTGGCTTCTTTGATTACCAGCCTTGGTCCATATACATGGTAATTAAAAGACAGTTTTAACTTTCCACACGTAGACATATGTACAATTAATGCATTTAATCGAGACTCGTAATCATCAAAATATGTAGCATCATTACCGTGTAAATCCCAACGGCGATCCATCTGGGCCTGTGGCCTTTGCCCGCGTAGTAAGACAGCACCACCGAAACGAGCAGCTGCGATATGTCATTTCCCACGGTGATGATTCCTGCCGATCAGTAACACCAACACTCGAAGATTAAAAAAAAAAAAAAAAAAAAAATGACAATGAAAACAATAGATTAGCGAAAGCCCTACCCGTCGTCTTGGAGGGTATCTTGAACCTCTTCTCGATGGTGGTGATGGTGCCGTTGAAGTACGCGTAGGACGCGGAGAAGATGCAGCCGAGGACGCCGTATAGGAAAACGTAGGCCTTCTTATTGGCGAATTTTTGCAAACACGGGCCCCGCAGGCACCATATGCCGCACGACGTGTCCTCGGTAATGGGCAATTGACGGAATATCTCGTCGAGATCGCGAAACTGGGGCGTTGTCGGGCTCGAGGGTGGCGTCAGCGGGGTCGCGTCGAGCAGCTTCTTGCTCTCCGGCCCGTTGCGCTGGCCGTTGTTTTCTCTGCTCACGCTGTTCATCCTGTCGCTGCTACAATGATGGTCGGATCTTTGGGCCTCGCGATATCGTCCTACCGCTACACGTGCCCCACATATGGATCGAAGGACTATTCTCGTATATGCCCTTGACTATACTATTACTATTTTCCCCTGATGTGCTCCCTTTTACGTGATTTTACCTTTAATCGCTATATATGTATGTATTATCTTTTCTTCCTTTTCTCGTATCCGGCACAATAATCGTCGAGTTGTTGTTCGCCGCTCGCGATAAAACAAAGGGAAATCAACCTGTCGTCAGATTTCGAGGGCTGGCGCCTCGCGTGCGCTCGTTGTCCTCATCGTGATGGAGTCTGGAGGGCGCGAACTTACGGCTATCAGGAGACTTTGGATTTCCGAAGATGGTAACAGACGCATGGGCGGGCTAATGGTTCAGCTGAAAAAGTGCAACACGTCTGTCCTTTCTCTCGACTTTTTGAGGGGTCTTTTCTCTCAAAGACGGTGAGCTCGCGAGAGACAAATTTTTCGGGAATTTTTTTTTTCCTCCCTTCCAAGTGGTCGGATGCTCACTGCCTTTGAGAGTGAATTTTTAAAAATGACAACTGAGTTATTTGAACAAAATATGTGCCAAAAGCTTCAAAATGTGCTGTTCAAAACAAAAGAAACGAAAAAATAAAAAAATTAAAATACCGCGGGTATTAGTTACGGAATGGTCGTGCGCGTCCGACTAGATCTATTCAAAAGTGCTGCAGCAGTCATTATTCTGTCATTTGCAGCGTTTATGTTACTTCCGCCGTTCCGTTCTTCGTCAACTAGATTGATATAGTTTTTTGATTCGTTAAACTCTAAAGTGCGTAAAACCCCAATATTGGGGGAGCAAAATTATTAATATCACCAAGCGAGCAAGAGCATTAAATTTGCTTGTGGTGACAATTTTGAAAATCATTGGTCCGATGATATAGTCAAACGAGCTCGTTAAAAATTAAAAAAAAATAAAATAAATAACAATCATCTTGACGTTGATGATTGGAACCACTCGACACCATGGTCACTCGAGTCCAAAAATCGGCAATCAAACTATCGCGCGGTAGGAGCGATTCGGCCTTGAAAACCAATTCCAAGTCACACACCTCAACGTCCGCCGACGTCCCGAGTATCTGCATCAGCGATCAAACCCAACTACGTCTCCCAAGAGCTATATGGTAAAAAAAAAAAAAAAAAAAAAAAAAAAAACTACAATACCCTATTGACACTAGAGTATCATCACTACCGCGATCGCAACGAAAACCCGCAGAGATGAGCTCGGTAGGGAAAACAAAAAATAGTTCAGAGAGTAACACCGAGCCACGCGACGACGTGCCCAGGCCGCGATGCGTTTTTCGACTATTAGGTATGAGACCAGCTCGATTTTCTCGTCGCGGATGCGCTGCAAAGAGCCGTGACGTATGCACTAGACGCTATGCTACCGTGCCGTTACCGCGCTACCGCTGATAAGACGCTCTACCGGAGCTCATAGGCGAAGCTAGTGGAAGACGATCGTGGAAAGCCTGCCCCTCTTCCTTTTGCCCGATCAGATTATAGTCGATCGGTCGCGGAAATTCATCGGTGTTAACATTAAATGTACATATACATGTCATTGTACATATGTGGAATACTTTACTTACGCATTTTTCATCCTCGTGAGAACAATGTTTTAAATCCCCGATAGGCCGATTTCTATTTATTTGTACGCACAAATATTAAGCTCTACGACCTCGGATAAGTTCTCAATTTTTTCGTACCAAAAGATAATATTCATTTTCAAGTATTATCATTCTTGATTGATCACGTAATTTTTTTTATGCAGAAACAATAAAGAGTCACAAATCAGTAAAAGAATTCGAACAATGAAGCATTAAAACCACATTAGTTAAACAATTTTTCTTCCGATCTTTATATTGTAGATATAAAATATACTAATTGAACGTTTAAACATTGATTACCATATCTTGAAAACGATATAACTTGGCTGTACTGAAAATTTTTATGTCACTCCTGATTGTTATCTTGAACGCTGCTTTGGTTTTTTATAATTTCCCCAAGTTACATATCAAACTACCTTGTAGTAAGAAATTAAGTTTTTTTGCGATGTAATGGAAATTGATAAGAAAATGGCAATCTAAAAACAAAAGTAAATTAATCATTTTTTTTTTTTTTTTTTCAAATAAAATTTATCTAGACCTTGAGCCATCCAATTCCATCATAATTGAAATGATACCCTTAAACGAGTGAATCTAAAAACTTCATCGGGTACCCTCTTATACACGGACACATTGGGCCACCAAAGACCACAATTACAGTACGTTTGAATAAGGCTGCACTTGGATTTTCTTTTTGAAAAAATTGTAAGGAACCTCATTATATCGTTCGAGATTCGTACGTGTGTCGATGCACTTAATCGTTTTTCAGGCCGATACGCTCATTTAGTCATACCTACTTACAGGCTTCTTCGAGAAAGTCCTACCAAAAGCGTAGATAACAAGTACGGTATAGTTGAGGGAAACATCATGTGGTACGGAATACATCGTATCCGTGCATTTATTTTCCATCAGTCCCGATGATAAAGTACATTACACTCGAGCAAACAGTGGTAATTATTTTTGTAGAAGCGTGTCTTTCAAACGAGTACAACATCAAGTGGGCAGAAAAAAAAGCAAAAAAAAACTAAGTGGACGAAAAGTTCCACGCCGATCGGACGATCGATAAGCCAATATTGGCCGAACGATGTCGACTCGATAAGAAGACTACAGAGTTGCGTGGACAAAACAGATATGGATCGGTTGGCTCGCGCGTACACACGTAATATAGGCATTCGAGGCGTATTTTGCGCGAAGCCGACGACTCGGCGCTCTCCTAAGGCTATCTTCCGAGTCTTTCTCGGCTGCCCACCTACGCACTTGCCGAGCGCGTGTATACACCCATTGTGAGCCTATTACGACCCATAACCCAAGCGAGCCTTAAATACACGGGCACGAGCGCGTGCGTGCACCCATATTCGACAATGAAGGTGCACCGCTGGTGATGCGTACATGTACACGCGACTATACGATCGGTTAGACCAACGGCACTTTCAACATCCCCGGCCACGAGTTTTGTTTAATTTTATCATTTTATTGATCGTTGACCTGTTGGTATTAAAATACGCCTGGGTACAATTTGATTTTCCCACCAATGGTGATCACGACAATCGTGAAAAGAAGAGAGAAAATGCAAATGTAAGCAGCGCGGAACATCGACGCCCCCCCCCCCTTTCTCCGAACTTTCGATATCCAAGCACATTTCGGGCAATTATAGCGCCGTGAACGGCAAACTTAATGGGCGGTCGACCAGTAACGGAGCCGTTAGCTAATTGCTAATTGCCGGAATTTCGTTCGTTTGACGGGGAGACTTGGACTGTACACTACGCGTACGTGTATACTCTCCGTACGTACCTCACCGCTTCTTGTGTACTTGTCGTTACTCGGATGGCTGGCTACCCTTCTGCCCTTCTAATGGGAAAATCTCACGTGATAAACAGAGAAAAAAGTCCCATTCATGATACCTTTAAAATGAAAAAAGTATGGTCGTTCCGGAGACTAATACGTAGTAGTACCAGCAGGTACTTGTACTTGGGTTTTCCACATCGGAACAACGATCGGAGATGGCGTATCTGTTTGTTCAAACATCCTCAATGTCACAAACAAGACATGAGTTGTACGCATCGACAATGGATTCCATAAACAGAAGTTGCATGGTCTGCGAGAGCCGTTGGATTGAGAACGAGCGCAGGACGTCAACGTCTGATAATATGCGTCAACGCGTTGACGAGAGCGATAAAGAGAGAAATCGCACCCGATAAGGGACATATCAGAGAAAAACTCCGATTGTCTTGGAATATTGCGTGAGACTGAAAAATTGCGTTTTTCCACCGAACACTGTTTATTTATTTATCTATCATCCCGACAAATCGATCGCGTGGGTGATAAATTTAATTGAACAGCAATCACGTCTTTATCGGTCACTCGATCGAACGTTGACCATAGGAAAAATCAATATTATTTTGTAAACAGCTTACTTCTTCCTTTTTTTTTTTTTTTTTTCTTCAATATATACTATTTTAGTCGCGCGGAGTCGTAGGACCCGACCTAAATTTAGATTCTACGCCAGGCAATTTGATATTTCAGCACAATCGAGTCAACGGCCTCTCGAGTGGGGCAAATAAAAATCTCTACGCACCGTCCTCGGCAACATACGATTTGTGTACTTGCTGACTTTGCGCTCTTGTTGTACTGTTTAAAAGCTACACAAGTTATGCAATTAAAGTGCACTATTACCTTTAGAGATGCGTATTCAGATTCTAGGGATCAATTCGTGGTAAAGATTACCTCTGCAAAACGGAAAAATTTAAAAAGCCAAAGTTGATGAAGAATACAAATGATTATCTATTGTGTACAATAATGATTTTGGTCAATAACTTGAATCTCATCGTTGTCTCTGTGAAAATAGCTCAAGGTTCCAGGTAAGCATCGTTGAACCGAAAATTCGGTTAGATAAATAAAAAAAAAAAAAAAAAAAAAAAAAATCTGAAGAAGGCATCGGTCGAGTGAAGCTAAGGCCTTACACTCGTACAACTTCGCGACTCGCGGCTGATGGTAACCCGGCCACTATCTAAATTACTCTCTCTCTCTCGGTCTGCGGGCACTATTCAGCTGTGCTCTGTGCGCGCATGTGTATAGGAGAATCAAGGCCGGACGAGTGAGTTTACGACGATTAGACTCGACCGTAGATTCGTCGCTTTTCCTATACACCCGTCGTTGCGAGCTTCTCGAGCACTGCGTTTTGAGCTTGCAAGCATTTTGGCACAATTGTACTTTTGACGTCACGCTAAATATTGATGGTGGGATCGCAGGATTTTGGAAAACATTTTTATAATTTTCAAAGTCAAAAACAGGTACTTACGCTCAAAATTAAAAAAAAAAAAGGAAAATACTCTCGGCATGTAATATGAAATCAACAAACTCGTGGATGTCGTGTATTATTGTAAAAGATAAAAATTACAATTCCTTAAATTACGGTAGTATTTACAATCGGTCTTTATACGGATGTATATAGGTATAAAAAAAAAAAAGAATCAATGTCCTTGAAAACATACAGTTTTCAAATGGGAGAAGCAAGAAAAAAAAAATAGTTCATCGGCACGAAGTTGCTACGTCGACGACTGTTTGAGCCTGACGATGTCCCTTTCGTCGGGCAGTTTCAGCTGACTCCCCTTGAGCGCGGGCGTGCGCCTACCCTCTGCTTCCTCCTTGTATCCGTAGAGATCGAGGTCCTTTGAGAGGTAGCACACCGTCGCGTCGAACATCACCCCGATTATGCACAGACCTGCAACAGTATGGGGAGGACGAACAATTTTCACGTTTCAATATTGACAAGCAGAGCGAGGAAAAGAAAAGAAGAAGAAAAAAAAACACCAACAGGCAGAGGTGAGATTGACGTAGTAACGAAAGTCGCTCGTGTGGTAGAACCAACAATTGCCATTTTTCTTGCAAGACATGTCCCAAATGAGGCACGTCGAGTCAATGATGGCGCCAAAAAGAATGGGACCCGGGATCAGCCCAAACAGCGAAATGACCATCAGACCGATTCCCTGGGCCAGGCTCTTGTCCCTCGTCTCGACGCATCGGTAATTCACGAGCACGTTGCCGATCTTCCCCGAACAGCCGAGTATGTTGATGACCGTGGAGATAATGGCAAACAGCACGTGAGGCATGAGGCAGTTGTGGTTGCAGGGACCAGCTGTGACAACGTGGTCGAGGCTCTGGACTGCCCCAAGGCCATCCCGGTACAGTAGCAACGAAGCACCCTGGAGGCTCTGGTCCCGGAAGACGGAGGTCAGATCGGACACGCAGCCGCAATCGGCGAACGTGGTGTCGTTCACGATCGTGCGGCAGCCGGCATGGCAGGCCGAGAAAAAGGTGGTCTTTGTGGGCTGGTGACAGACAGGCGCGTACTTGACCGTCTCGCAGCTACAGGCTGCATTGCACGGTGACGTCAGGTTTACTCTGCGATCGGGGAAATCAAATTTAACCGATTTTTTTAACATCACGGACGCTGGACACACCGAGAGGGACGAATAAGAATATAATTGCTCTACGATGATCGATAAAAGAAGGAGTTGACGTTTGCAAAAGTCATACTGAGAGTAGATGTTAATTTTATCATTCGCCTCTCCCGTGCCGGTAAAACGTTTTCACAGCCAATACACATGTCCAATAAATATACTTGATAATTTTTTTGCATTTCTCTCTCTCGGCGTGTACAACAACGACTATGGCCTTTTTCCGCACAAATTGCACAATGGTCATTACGTGTACGTAAATGTGAGACTCACGAGACTCACTTCATGGTGTCCATGTCGACGCCCTGGATGCTATTTTCACAGCCAAGAAGCATGAACGAGATCTGCGTGACGAAGTAGCCAAGGCCCACGAGGACGTTCCAAAAGAGCAGAGGCCTCGGTGATGGCTTGAACCTGCCTATAACCACTCCAGAGATTATGAACCCGAGTACCATCCCCATAAGAGTGAGCGGGCCTGAAACGAATGTATAATTTACTACTGTTACCCGAGATACTTTTAACCTTTGGTGATCGCAGTCAAAGGTGTGACATTACCAACTAGTAAGCTGCCTCCACCCGGAGAGGTTTGGAACTGCACCTCCAGGTACTTGGCGAGGAAACTCATGAACGGGGCGGCGCTCAAAACGTAAAACACTCCGCTGAATATGTTGCAGAACAATATCTTATTCGTGATTATTCGCTTGACCGTTTTCGGAAATTCTCTCAAGGTGGGCTTTTCCATCGGCTCTGCCGGTGTTGCCTTGTTTGACTCGAACTTCAAGGGCACCTCGCATTCCTACGCGGCAAGACACACACCGTCAATATCATCGTTTTTCATAAAAATCGGCTTCCAATGTCTCTTGGCTTACGCTCAGAGCCTCCTTTTCTTCCTTGCTGTTGGCGGATCTTTTCGACCTCTCGAGTTCTCGAGGAAACATGGCGAGCAGCGCCGAAAAGACCGACATTGTGAGCCCGAGAATGATCCAACCGAGCCACCAGGCGCCGAGCCATCTCGGGTCCTTTTGGTCGATTATGGGGTGCAGGGTTGGGTCGATGTACAAATTTAAGCACAGGTAGCTCAAAACGAACCCGAGTGCTGGTCCCACCGTCCGCAGGGCAAACGTGAAACCTGAAAAACCATCGTCGATCGGGTGCTTTGTTGGCAGAATATTTTTCTTACTCTCCCGATAAAGTTGCCGATAGGTTGTACTGTACGCGACGTCGGTGATTATCGTCGGCGACGCAGTTGTGAAGTCATTGTTGTTTGCTCGTTCCGCTGAGCTGATAAGGAAATTTCTCAATGCTCCGTAAAGGTTTAATAGACGCCGATCTCTCAAGTGCTCGCGGTGTGCGCGGTTTTTTTTTTTTAAATCTGTACACGAGCGATTTCCTTTGTTCCCCTTCTTTGCGATCGGTAGCGCCTTTCAATTTATCGCTTGGTTCTACCGTGACCGGCAAAATTAACAACTTGGGTGGTTTTTAAAAAGAAACTTTTCGATGCGTAAACGAGTCGGTATGGGAACCTATCATTCGACGATAATAACAACAATAATGGAAAAAAAACCTAAAAGCATGGGCACGTTCTTCTTCTTGGTGTTGTCGTCCATGTAGGTCTGCCCGAGGCCATAGTACAAGGTCGTCCCGATGCCCAGGATGAACTGGGAGAAGAAGACCAGTAGTCGGGGCACGATGCTCGTGTCGGTGAGACTCTCCTCGTCGCAGGCCTCGGGTTGGCTGGCCCTTGAGCAGACCGGCAAATCGGTAGTCTTGCCCGGGTGGGAGACCAGCGACGCGTTCAGGTACTCGCGGGTCAGGGCCAAGGCATCCTGACCCGGGCCGTAGATGAAGTGCGGCAGGGCGAGGACGAGGCAGGACAGGGCACTGCAGAACACCCCCACGGCTATCCATCGTGGTCTGTGGCCGGCGTTGCCGTAGTAGATCAGCAGGACCGATAGGATCTGGGAGATTTCGTTGCCTGACATTATTATACCTGGGGAATATTTCTGTGGTTTTTTCTTTTTTCGATTACGTTTTCCTGTTATCGTTCCTTGGTTTCTTCTTAATGTCGTTCTTTTTGGTTTTTCTTCTTATTATATTTGTTTTTTTTTGCAGATGAAAGAAAAGGTACTTTCGTATTACAGAACTAGATTACTTAATAAAACTATGATTCTCATTCTGTTGTACCAACATAAATTACAAAGAACAGAAAATTCTTATTTTTATTCAACTAGGCGTGCATACGTGCATGTCTTGGGGCCTCAATTTTTTATTTTTTATATTGATAGATAGATAAAAAAAAAATTAATGTTTTTAGATAAGATAAGCCACCAAATTTGTTAGTGATCCAAACTCTGAAAAAAGTTCGCTTACCTGTTGTCCGACTGGGAATTTTGAATCTCTTTTCTAGGGTCGTCAAACTCACGACGATGTAAATAAAGGCCATCGACTGCACAGTGCCGAGGAGACCATAAACCGCGATGAAGGTCCGCGAAGTGGCCCAATTTTGCAGCCACTTTGGGTAAAAGCACCAAAATCCGCATTTCGTGTTTTCCTTCATCTTCTAGTCCTGTTAATTATTCCTATATGTTATTTCAATACGAATCCACACTTAAAGGTACAATGTCTATTTTTCACAGGTAAAATTATGTGGTTTACGTATCATATATACTAGCCGTTGAACAGCACAATATTCCCTATCATGAATTATATTAAGAACCTTCCACAAGTGTACTCGGGTGAAATGAAAAGGTGACAGTTGAATTATCTTTCGCGGTGATAAACAAAATACGTACACTAATCCTCCGCGATTGTGAAGCAGCGCATTCAGCGATACCATCATTATGCTGATAATTTTTATCGATTTTTACTTCGGCTACAATTAGTACGCAACAATTACAAAGATGAAGGAGTTTTTTTTTAAATTATTAAATATACTCAACAATTTCCGGTTTCTCGAGCAAACAGCATACCCGCACGAAACACGTTATGTATAATCGCGAGCGATACATCAAGACAAAGTAACTCGACAGAGTCAACGATTAGATTTATAATTACTTATGTAACTCATCAACAGAAGCTGCGGACATGAAACAGGTCTATCCGCGGCGCACGTGTGCTTAGCAGTGGTGCGCAACATTATACTCTAACGTGGGCGTTTGCGATGCACTTGGGTATTAATTAGGAGTTTTGTTTTATCATGTGAGCTTTAATGCGCTACTTGTTAAAACGACGAATCACCTTACGTTCCATTACACGATGTTACTGGTGCAAATTTGTTGAGCTTTTGTAACATAAATGAAAAATTGTAAATAAATAACGAAATTATTTTCAAAAATTATTCTTTTGATGATGGGTATGTAAGTCAATTCATAACCATTTATTGAGAAAAAAAATTCGATGTACGGAATAAAACTCTCGAGAAAAAATTTATTTGATTTTGATTTTCTTAGTCATTTTAATAGGCATAGGTAAGTTGTAACGCAGGTCATAGCTTTTGTGCCCCTGCGAGTCTCGCACCGATTTGTGTAGAAAATCAAGAGTCTCATATTCTACCATCCAAACTATGGTAGTCGATGTTTCAATGTAAGTTATTGATTAATAAAAACTACACAAACAAGCCTGCCAGTACCCCTTTTTTATTAGAATAATAAGTGATAGAAAATAATTGACTATTTACTGTCTGTGTTATTGATATATCTGATTAATTGTTATTTTTAATTATGTTTTTGACTTGAAGGAAATCATGTATGTCATATGTGTTATACATAAAAATATACAAAATTAATCTTTGTTACCAGAAAAGTTATAAGAATGATATTATTTTTAAATAATAAGTGAAAAAACACGTGCCACGTATCACACTTTTTTAGGGCACAATACAATTTTTTTTTCTTTAGTAAGACAAATCCGGTTTAAGCCAAGCCATAGTTAAAGTTTGATCTATTACTCTTAAATATCGGTCATGCAATCATTCAAAAAGCAAAATGTTGAAACAAGTCTTGACTGTGTGAAAAAAGAATGACGCACACGGTTGTTGAAGGAAAAAATAAGGCAATCGCCAAAAGTTTTATCAAGATTTGTGGCTCGGAGTATACGGCACGAGTGATTACCTTGTTAGTCGGTCAATTGAAACAATTGAGCTAACCAGATCCAAATTCAAATGGACATCTCATCCGAAACAACAACAACAAAAATTGTGTAGGTAGTACCTACTCAAGATTTTTTCGTCAACAAACTCAATCAAGTGATTTGCCGATCTCTCTTCACAGATCAGTCTCCTTCCGATCTCAAATGAAGCATGTACGTGTGTTCCCTTCTGACTGCATTGTCAAGACACTTCCTGCCCTCAAAATATATCAAGTGCACCGCGTCACAAAAGTACTTACAGCAAAATCCACTGTTCGTTCAAATAGTTTTTTCTGGTACATTTTTTATACCGTTAGTCCAAACTTGTCTCTCTTCCAAAATGTGCAACCAGAATCATTCGATAAGTCCTGATTTTCGGCCCAAAACAAAAAAATGGCACGTTTCTTTTTACGTCAGCACACCGCCACAAACGTGACAATACGTACACTGTATTACGCACGATGTAAAAAATAATTATACGTGATGGTACAAGACACATCTCTTTCAAATGCACGGGCTGACGCGTCATACGATGCGTTTTGCCTTGCGTACCTACTTATTACGCTGTCGCGCAGCCCCGCTTTGGTGTGCATACATTAATTATTCATTAAAATGCGCGCTAGGCTCGATGTTGAGTGTCTTGGATTAATTTTTTATCTTTGCTGTTATTGTATAATACACTCAAGAGTCGGTTATAATTTCCACTTGTCAACGGACGTAGGGATTAATGCATTAACTTTTTGTTATCTCCTTTTGCAATGATTGATTGATTGTTTCAGTAAAAGGTTAAATTTTGTTCAACATTATGAGAAACATTAACAAAAGTTTCGCCGATACGCGAGATTTTTCGTAAATTCGAGTGTCTAATGAGTTTAACAAAAAAGTCACATTAACCGCATCGNTAAAGTAAACAAAAGCTTAATAATAGTGTAATAACACTACTTAAAATAATGAAATCCAAATTAGTAGTTACAAAAAGTTTTGTGAAATAGTGGTAATCGTTACGACAGAAGTTTTTTACGGATCAATTATCATTAGTTATTAAAATAAATGCACAAATGTTGCATTCGACCGGTTACAGTTAAATGATGATTCCTTATTTCAATGTCGTAACGATTTACAGCTTCTATTTAACACCTGGCGAAATATTTATGGTATCACACTCTACAACTTTGTCTCGTTAAAAGTCAAGTATAAAAAAACTTATGATTTTTCCGGTGTAATAAACGTGGTGGAAATTTTTTATTGGCAACCCAATATTACAATGTAAAGCAATCAGGTTCTCTCATGCAAATAAAAAAACATGTACATACATGCATTTGCGAGTAATAATATGTAGATTTGTATTAATAACAGTTTTTGCTCTTATGGAAATAGATAATATCTCCATGTATGTAAATATAAAATTTTTTTTTTTTTTACAATCGAGCAATCATGGATAATTAATCATCGATTTTCAATGCGTGCGTCTTCGTACGGCAACATTATACGTTTGCCCCTTACATCATGAACTTTGATACAGACGGCCAATCCAACTTATGTAATGTCACTCGTTGAAACAATGACAGTGCACGAGGCGATACTCCAAATTTTTGCACAATTAACGAGAACAGTGAAATATTCTTGTAGTCGAGTATCTGAGAAACGACGGGAAGGAATTGTACAAGGAATTTATCAAAGGGGGAAGAAAAAAAATTTTGTTTCAGCCAAGTGTGACAGCTAAATCGAGCCGGCAGATATGGCCGTCACGTGCACCATGTTCTCGTCACCATTGAAATTCACGTGAACGTCTGATGATGTTTTTGCGCGACTGCTACGAGGACTGATGATACGAGTGATACTGTGTCACGGGGGAAGGGAAAGATTCAATAAAATTGTGAAATTTAAACGAAAAAAAGACGCGTCGCGCCAAATAGACAGATCAATTCGATAAAGATGCGTCAATTTGTTTTCCAGCGACCTAAAAATCAAGGACAGCTAAGTTATAATTTCGATTCCCAAAAAGTGTTTTTTTTTTTTTTTTTTTTTTTTTTTTAAAAACCATAATTTTAAAAAATACAATTTGTTTGTTTCTTTAAAATATATTAATGATATTAAGATTTAAAACTTTTTGAAACAAATAAACAATTGTACAAAATGTAAAGTCATCTGGAAATTGTCAGGAATTAACGATTACTTTTGGAATCAGTCCTAGATATATTTAAAAAACTTTTGATAATCGCAAGTGTCTCAATGATTAGCGTTTGGTTATCAGTAAAAATCTAATAAGAACCATTATTTGTACAATTATGAATTAGTTAGTGGTCAAAGTAATTCGATAGCTGAAGGTCACTCGATGAAAAAAGAAAAAAAATAAATAAATACTACTACACTGTCACGACCACACCAGTAGCTGCATATAAAATTCCATAGTAAACTTTATACGCACCGCTATAAAAAAAAAATCACTACTGAAATACACATATCTTTCAAGCAGCGATGTATGATATAATAAAATTGCCGCTGCGCGACGCACGTCCCTTTTCTAGCAATACGATAAAGCACTCTGAAATAATTTACATCCATACCTAGTTCACAAACTATATGGACACGACAGATTTTTCACTCTTCTTCAATTACGTCCGACCACTTACCCAGTTAACTGTGGCTTTGCGAGCACACCGACACTAAAACAAGTTATGACATACACACCATTCACTTTTACTATCGTAGGTACACTATGTTTGACGATTACAAAAGTTTTTTTTTTCTTTCATTCATTGTATCCACGCTATATGAGTACAACACAGTTTCTTAAATTTTTTTTTTTTTTTTTTTCAATCTAATAACGCGCTTGAAAATGTATAAAATTATGTCAATAAAAAGGCTTACCTGTTGTCCGACTGGGAATTTTGAATCTCTTTTCTAGGGTCGTCAAACTCACGACGATGTAAATAAAGGCCATCGACTGCACAGTGCCGAGGAGACCATAAACCGCGATGAAGGTCCGCGAAGTGGCCCAATTTTGCAGCCACTTTGGGTAAAAGCACCAAAATCCGCATTTCGTGTTTTCCTTCATCTTCTAGTCCTGTTAATTATTCCTATATGTTATTTCAATACGAATCCACACTTAAAGGTACAATGTCTATTTTTCACAGGTAAAATTATGTGGTTTACGTATCATATATACTAGCCGTTGAACAGCACAATATTCCCTATCATGAATTATATTAAGAACCTTCCACAAGTGTACTCGGGTGAAATGAAAAGGTGACAGTTGAATTATCTTTCGCGGTGATAAACAAAATACGTACACTAATCCTCCGCGATTGTGAAGCAGCGCATTCAGCGATACCATCATTATGCTGATAATTTTTATCGATTTTTACTTCGGCTACAATTAGTACGCAACAATTACAAAGATGAAGGAGTTTTTTTTTAAATTATTAAATATACTCAACAATTTCCGGTTTCTCGAGCAAACAGCATACCCGCACGAAACACGTTATGTATAATCGCGAGCGATACATCAAGACAAAGTAACTCGACAGAGTCAACGATTAGATTTATAATTACTTATGTAACTCATCAACAGAAGCTGCGGACATGAAACAGGTCTATCCGCGGCGCACGTGTGCTTAGCAGTGGTGCGCAACATTATACTCTAACGTGGGCGTTTGCGATGCACTTGGGTATTAATTAGGAGTTTTGTTTTATCATGTGAGCTTTAATGCGCTACTTGTTAAAACGACGAATCACCTTACGTTCCATTACACGATGTTACTGGTGCAAATTTGTTGAGCTTTTGTAACATAAATGAAAAATTGTAAATAAATAACGAAATTATTTTCAAAAATTATTCTTTTGATGATGGGTATGTAAGTCAATTCATAACCATTTATTGAGAAAAAAAATTCGATGTACGGAATAAAACTCTCGAGAAAAAATTTATTTGATTTTGATTTTCTTAGTCATTTTAATAGGCATAGGTAAGTTGTAACGCAGGTCATAGCTTTTGTGCCCCTGCGAGTCTCGCACCGATTTGTGTAGAAAATCAAGAGTCTCATATTCTACCATCCAAACTATGGTAGTCGATGTTTCAATGTAAGTTATTGATTAATAAAAACTACACAAACAAGCCTGCCAGTACCCCTTTTTTATTAGAATAATAAGTGATAGAAAATAATTGACTATTTACTGTCTGTGTTATTGATATATCTGATTAATTGTTATTTTTAATTATGTTTTTGACTTGAAGGAAATCATGTATGTCATATGTGTTATACATAAAAATATACAAAATTAATCTTTGTTACCAGAAAAGTTATAAGAATGATATTATTTTTAAATAATAAGTGAAAAAACACGTGCCACGTATCACACTTTTTTAGGGCACAATACAATTTTTTTTTCTTTAGTAAGACAAATCCGGTTTAAGCCAAGCCATAGTTAAAGTTTGATCTATTACTCTTAAATATCGGTCATGCAATCATTCAAAAAGCAAAATGTTGAAACAAGTCTTGACTGTGTGAAAAAAGAATGACGCACACGGTTGTTGAAGGAAAAAATAAGGCAATCGCCAAAAGTTTTATCAAGATTTGTGGCTCGGAGTATACGGCACGAGTGATTACCTTGTTAGTCGGTCAATTGAAACAATTGAGCTAACCAGATCCAAATTCAAATGGACATCTCATCCGAAACAACAACAACAAAAATTGTGTAGGTAGTACCTACTCAAGATTTTTTCGTCAACAAACTCAATCAAGTGATTTGCCGATCTCTCTTCACAGATCAGTCTCCTTCCGATCTCAAATGAAGCATGTACGTGTGTTCCCTTCTGACTGCATTGTCAAGACACTTCCTGCCCTCAAAATATATCAAGTGCACCGCGTCACAAAAGTACTTACAGCAAAATCCACTGTTCGTTCAAATAGTTTTTTCTGGTACATTTTTTATACCGTTAGTCCAAACTTGTCTCTCTTCCAAAATGTGCAACCAGAATCATTCGATAAGTCCTGATTTTCGGCCCAAAACAAAAAAATGGCACGTTTCTTTTTACGTCAGCACACCGCCACAAACGTGACAATACGTACACTGTATTACGCACGATGTAAAAAATAATTATACGTGATGGTACAAGACACATCTCTTTCAAATGCACGGGCTGACGCGTCATACGATGCGTTTTGCCTTGCGTACCTACTTATTACGCTGTCGCGCAGCCCCGCTTTGGTGTGCATACATTAATTATTCATTAAAATGCGCGCTAGGCTCGATGTTGAGTGTCTTGGATTAATTTTTTATCTTTGCTGTTATTGTATAATACACTCAAGAGTCGGTTATAATTTCCACTTGTCAACGGACGTAGGGATTAATGCATTAACTTTTTGTTATCTCCTTTTGCAATGATTGATTGATTGTTTCAGTAAAAGGTTAAATTTTGTTCAACATTATGAGAAACATTAACAAAAGTTTCGCCGATACGCGAGATTTTTCGTAAATTCGAGTGTCTAATGAGTTTAACAAAAAAGTCACATTAACCGCATCGAAGCTAATAGACACGTTTGAAATACGAGCCAAGGGTAAAGAATTTTAATTGCAAAACAATCGACTGTTTATCCAAATGTATTTTAGAAGATTACTAAAAGATTTTAATGTATTGATTGGGATAATCCACGTTTTTTCATTTATGTGTATGAGGCATATCATCGCGGTATCAGAACATTCTTAAGTCTTTACGTAAAAAAAGAAAAACCTATTTGATAGCATTTATAAATAAATTAAAAAAAATTCATCGCCAGCTGATACGATAAGCCGGTGGCGCTTGATCGATTACTACAGTCGTTAATCGGACTCGCACTTCTGAGTCGTATGAATTGATAAAACTCACCCTCCCCGAGCAATATTTTATACCATTATATTTATGTAGATTTAATGATCAATCAATAAAACAATAAAACATCACTAATTTAATGAGCATAATTTAACCTTAAGGGCGATGCTCTGTTATTAATTATTTTCCGAGTTGAAGCAATGACATTGAACTCACTGTATATACGTATACCTGATGGTTGAAAATAATGGCACAATGGTCAAGGGCAGGAGCCGTTTCCTTTCGTCCTTACGTGGTGGTAGGATTCCAAGTGTTCCTGATAGATAAAAAGAAGGGCAATGTACCAATCAACTGTTAGACGGGCAAACGAGAGGGTAACAGAAACAACGAAGCCCATGCACAGTCCGTTACTATCGCGCCGCGCGATTCGCCGCGACTCGCCGGACGATCGAAACTGGACTAGCTCGTTTGAACTCGAGCCATCGGCTGATGCAGCCAGAGCGTGCGTAAGTACACGTAAGTATACATATATTTATATATTATTACCACCGCTGCTCTCCTGACCCCCGCTCCCTAACACTTTGATTAAGAGACAGAGACGGATAATCGCACGAATTAGCTGGGCTAACACTGCTATCGCAAAAGTCGTATAGCATCCGTACTCATCGTGAGAAAATTACTGTGTGCGGTCCCTAAGAGGACACAAAAAACGTTGAAAATTTCCGCTGATCTTACTAACTGAAAATCATTTCTATGCTACTTTTATATGAATTTGTTTGCAATCGATGGTCAACATAGATGGTATTATCTATCAGGACGGCACCAACTAAAGTAAGAGGTTGGGATGATTTATCATCATTTCCGGCAGTGATAAATTTTCATTTTATTCATTCGAGTGAAGTTAAGAAGGTAACATTACGTGGGCTAACAATTTCAACATTAATATCACAACTCTTGTCATAATGAGCCACTTGAGGAAGAAGCTGATGTTCCTTGTTTGGTGTAAACTTATACTCGGACACACTTTGACGTTATACCGTGAATGACGTACCAGAATCAACTTAAGAAATCATTTTGAAGATGTTTGGAAATATTCGTAAATTTATTTGGTAATATCACTATTGAGGTCAGGCGTAATATCTACACATTATAATTCATATGAGAAGATTTCGTGAGGTAAATTCCTCTAATTCTGTTGTCTTCAGGGCTAATTATTAATGCTTGAAGTCTTTTGATTATAAAGTTTTTATGATATCCAGCGGTATTATACCATTATTGATTTATATATGGATTCCAGTCATGCTATGACTACACGTACGTTGTTTCATATAAAAAAAAGCTAAATAAAATCTCGTACATAAACCACTGACGATCAATGAAAAAATGAATTAAGGTAATATTTACAAGTCATGTCGTGCGCGTACAAAAAAAGGAATAAAAATCAAAGAATTAAAATAAAAGTCACACATAAGCACGCAGCCGTTTTATCGACGACTGTTACGGCCTGACGATGTCCTCTTCATTGGGCAGTTTCAACTGGCTGCCCTTGAGAGCGGGTGTCTTTTTGTTCTCGTCTTCCTCCCCGTAAAAGTCAATGTCCTTAACGAGATGGCACACTGTTACGTCAAACATCAATGCAATGATACAGAAACCTGGAAGAAAATAAGGAATCATTTATTTTTTCTTATTATTATTAATGTACGGTCTTAAACCAAATTGCTTATGAAGAAAAAAAATGCGTGCTCACTAACCGGCGGAAACGATATTGACGTAGTATTTGAAGTTATCCGTGTGGTAGAACCAACAGTTGCCCTTTTTCCCACAGGACATGTCCCAAATGAGGCACGTCGAGTCCATGATGGCGCCAAAGATGATGGGCCCAGGAATCAAACCGAACAGCGACAGCATCATCAAAGTCATTCCCTGAGCGAGACTCTTGTCCCTCGTCTCGACGCACCTGAAGCTCAAAAGCACGGAAACAATGGTCCCCGAACAGCTAAGAGTGTCAGTGATCATCGCAATGACGGCAAACAGTAGGTAGGATTTGAAACAGTCGTGCTCGCAAGGACCCGAGGTGACTACATGATCGAGGGTCCGAGGAGTTCCAAGGACATCCTGGAGACCAGACACGCAGCCGCAATCGGCGAACGTGGTGTCGTTCACGATCGTGCGGCAGCCGGCATGGCAGGCTGAGAAAAAGGTGGTTTTTGTGGGCTGGTGACAGACAGGCGCGTACTTGACCGTCTCGCAGCTGCAGGCTGCATTGCACGGTGATGTCAGGTTCATTCTGCGTCACGAGGATCATGGAAATTTTGTTTTACCTCGCGTTACTCGCTGTTTAATATTTTTCGCAATAGTGTGCGGAAAATGGGTGTTTTCCGCACTGGTATTAGTGTGGAAAATCGATTTTCCCACATAGTGTGCGACAAAGGTGTGCGGCAAAGGTTTTTGTCGCACAGTGTGTGGAAAAAGTGTGCAGCAAAGGTTTTTGCCGCACAGTGTGCGGAAAAAGTGTGTGGAAAAGGTTTTGCCACACACCGGAAAAAATTTTGCTACACACTGGAAATCAAAATTCAAACCTATTTTGTACCTATTTTCCTCACACATTGCGAAAAAACTTGTACGCAACTCGTGCGGGACGATTTCCCGCACTCGTGTGATAGACTCGCTCTCGTGGCCGGTGACGGTAACTCGTACCTTGCGATCACACTCGTGCTACGCACTCGTGTGCTCAACTGGTACTCGTTCCCTTCAACTCCGGCACTCGTGTGAGTCAATCACTACTCGTGTGGGAAATCGTCTTTTCCGCACTTGTTACGTAAATAACTATTTTTTTATTCGATTTTGAATGAGTAAACTCACGAGACTCACTTCATGGTGGCCATGTCGACGCCTTCGATGCTGCCACTACAACTGAGAAACATGAATGAAATCTGACCGAGAAGATAGACAACTCCCACAAGGACGTTCCAATACAGCAGATACTTGGGGGATGGTTTGAATTTTCCTATTAACACGCCAGAGACCATGTAGCCGAGTACCATCCCCAAAAGAGTCAGTGGACCTGGTGCGAAGCAATAATGATTTTTTGATTGTATAAAATTATTAATCAGGAAACAATTAAATAAATCAACCGATGATTATTATAACAATGATAATAACAGTAATAGAGACAGTTAAAATACGATGAATAAAAATCAAATGCGGTCATGCTTATTTTCAATTTTTTTCGATATGTAATGATTTATTTTCTGTGTACCATCTGTGCATGGTTTTTACAACCCCTGCATGCCAATTTTTACACCCACGCTCCCGAATTTTAAAGCGCTTCTCCTCTTTCAGTTTTAGTTTGTATCGTTTTATAGTGTAAGACCCGATGGAATTTTTGAACTGACCCGCACTACACGAACCAAGTGATCATTTCCAACGAATGTAAAGTGACAAAGAGACGATAACAATTCTTTGTAAGATCAATTGAACATTTTCAAACAACAAAAATCATGTAATGTTCATTTTTTTTTACTTACCGACAAATATGGTACCTCCACCTGGAGTAGTTTGGAACTGCACCTCCAGGTACTTGGCGAAGAAACTTATGTACGGAGAAGCGCTCAAAACGTAAAATAATCCACTAAATAAGGTGCACAGCAAAATTTTATTTGTCATTATTCGCTTGACCGCCTTTGGGAATTCTCTCAAGGTGGGCTTTTCCACCAAATTTGTAGTCCCATTGCATTCGTTTTTACTTGCCTCGATCCTCAAAGGGACTTTACTTTCCTGCACAAAGTAATTTATATGATTTGGTTTTTTTCTTTTTTTTTTTTATGTTTATCAACATCCATTTCGTGCAATCATGTTGGAAACATATTGTTTTTAACTTCATACATTCAGAGCTTCCTCTTCTTCCTTGATGATGGTGGGCCTTTTTGATTTGTCGAGTTCTCGAGGAAACATGGCAAGCAGCCCCGAAAATATAAACATTGCAGGGCCGAGAATGATCCAACCGAGCCACCAGGCGCCGAGCCATCTCGGGTCCTTTTGGTCGATTATGGGGTGCAGGGTTGGGTCGATGTACAAATCTAAGCACAGGTAGCTCAGGACATAGCCAAGAGTTGGTCCAACCATTCGCAATGCTAATGTGAAGCCTATAGAAAAATCGTAATTTTGCAATGATAAATTGTTCATGTTTTTTCCCCCGTCTATCTTCTCGTTTTTCCATAAAATTGATAGCGTCATTTAATTAACTTCACTCCACATTTTTTCATCAACAGGAGATAACGATTGCCTTATCAATAGGTAAAATGATTAGAGCGCTGATAGTTAGTTTACCACTAACTCCAAATAATGTCTTTGTCTACACGTGCAAAGATAGCACAGTATCATTCCAAGTGAATTGAACATCAAAGTGCCGTACCCAGGAGCATTGGCACGTTCTTCTTCTTGGTGTTGTCGTCCATGTAGGTCTGCCCGAGGCCATAGTACAAGGTCGTCCCGATGCCCAGGATGAACTGGGAGAAGAAGACCAGTAGTCGAGGCACGATGCTCGTGTCGGTGAGACTCTCCTCGTCGCAGGCCTCGGGTTGGCTGGCCCTCGAGCAGACCGGCAAATCGGTAGTCTTGCCCGGGTAGGAGACCAGCGACGCGTTCAGGTACTCGCGGGTCAGGGCCAGGGCATCCTGACCCGGGCCGTAGATGAAGTGCGGCAGGGCGAGGACGAGGCAGGACAGGGCACTGCAGAACACCCCCACGGCCAACCATCGTGGCCGGTGGCCGGCGTTACCGTAGTAGATCAGCAGGACCGATAGGATCTGGGAGATTTCGTTGCCTGACATGATTATACCTGGGGAATAGAACTGTGCGTTTAACTATCTAACAAAACACTTTCCTCGAATCGTCCCTTGGTTTCTCACAAATGCCATGATCTTTGGTTTTTCGAATAATAATATTTGATAGAAGTTGCAGATGAAAGAAAAGGTACTTTCGTATTACAGAACTAGATTACTTAATAAAACTATGATTCTCATTCTGTTGTACCAACATAAATTACAAAGAACAGAAAATTCTTATTTTTATTCAACTAGGCGTGCATACGTGCATGTCTTGGGGCCTCAATTTTTTATTTTTTATATTGATAGATAGATAAAAAAAAAATTAATGTTTTTAGATAAGATAAGCCACCAAATTTGTTAGTGATCCAAACTCTGAAAAAAGTTCGCTTACCTGTTGTCCGACTGGGAATTTTGAATCTCTTTTCTAGGGTCGTCAAACTCACGACGATGTAAATAAAGGACATCGACTGCACAGTGCCGAGGAGACCATAAACCGCGATGAAGGTCCGCGAAGTGGCCCAATTTTGCAGCCACTTTGGGTAAAAGCACCAAAATCCGCATTTTGTGTTTTCCTTCATCTTTTAATGGTTCTATTAGTATCACTGTTATTGTAATATTAGTACCAAAGTTGGACCGTTTTTACACCGATTTATGATACTCTTGAAAAACCAATTGTATGCCTCGTAAAGTCAATTTCACTTCCGTTCATTAGCTGTTGAGTTTACTCTACGACTTACTAAAAATACACTTTATTAATTAAAAATTTTTTCGTAACCGAACAAATAATATCCCATTGCCAGAGCCTACGTGTAATGGTCCCTGCGGAATCAACGAAATGAACATTCCTATGTGTAAGTGAGTGGATAAAAATTTTTAATTTATTCGAAATAATAACTGAACTAATGGCAACTTAATGCTTCTTCTGATATTCTCTTTTTCGATATTTTACAAATCTGCGTCCATTTTTAAATGTCACACAGGCCTTTTGAAAAAATTACACACGAGGACAAACCGTGGAATCCACCTAAAAAAATTTTAATATATTATTTACCCAAGAAAAAATACCAGTGATACGTAGGTTGCTGATAATTAGTAGCTTTTGCATTATTAATTTTTTTTTTTTTTTTTTTTTGTTAATTAAACATATGATGTCATTGGGCCAGCCATTAATTCGAAAGCAGTAAAAATAAATTTTCACGTAAACTCTGTGGGAAGCGCAAACTGGCCCAGGACAAAGTATGGCACTAAATTAAAGTTAAAAACGAGAGGTAAGAAACTTTGGCTGAAGATGTAAGAAAAACGGTACAGCTTGACGAATAAAATAATGTCACTGCACTATTGAAAAATGACTGAACAACACCACTTTATCCTGATTCACTCTGCCTTTGAAAAAAAAAAAAAAAAAAAAAAGAATAGGTACAAGCAAAGATATTGCACTCACTTCAAGCCATGATGAAAAAAAAAAAAAAAAAAGTTTTACAATAGTTCATTCAGAAAGGCAGTAAGCACACTAATCACCTCTATTTGTCTTCGCTTAGTCGTCGTGCAGCGGAAGGACGCGGCACTTTCTTGGAGAAAAAACGGAATATACAGATGTAAAGTATCCACGATGAATTGCACCTTAAATTTAAGGACCGGAGAGACGGTTGATCAGGTAAGTACGTTTTTGTAGTGGCACGCGATCAGCCGGACGGTCGGTCGTTTTTGTGCACGAGCCAACGTATAAAATGCAGCCCGTCGTCAGTCGTCACCTCCGCTTCTACATGCAATGTATGCTCCGTCACTCGGTGGCTCGAAGCTTTTTATTAGGAAAGATTAGCCGGATAATTTTACGAATCAGCTGGACACGTCTGACGCGGCTTTAAAAGCGGTTGTGACCTTGAGTCGTTTAATATGTATATAAACGCACAAGTATATCTTTTAGATAATATACACATGTGTACGATCCTGTGATAAGGAAGTACTCGATAAGATGAGCGTTGCCACAGAGCTTCACTGATTTTTACTTCATCGCGTTAATCTCGTTCACGTATATCTTAGACGAGCATCTACATTGTGTTAGGTAATTAAGTTGTACTTGTATACTGTAACGATCTGAAGTACCACACGTGTAATAAACGACGAGTTCTGGATCTTGGGTTTTTTCAAGAGTTACCATCACGTTCTCGTTATCCTTGCGTGAATATCCGGTGCTTCCATCTCGTCGATCGGACGAGAAACTCGTTGTCTTGAACTTTTGTTTCGAGACTCGTTTTAGGTATAGTTTGTACGATAATTGACAAAAAAAAAAAACCGAGCGCTTCGATGGGTGGTCCGAGCCGTTACAATCAACTTGCTGCAAAATGTATCGTTAGGCCACAATCCGCCATACGAAACCACTTTCATCCGATTAAACGGTTCCATAGTGCGGATTTCGTGCTCCGTGTGACCGCGGCCGCGAGAGCTCGTCTTTTTCCTGCTTATTTCCACCTGTCCGAACCGTAAAAGATTGATACAGATCTCGAATCTCACGCAGGTGGGCATCCCAAGCTTGTGGTGATGACAACATATTACGATGACGGTAGAAAGAGACGGTAAAATCGTAATAACGATTGTACCATGCATATAACAGTATGGTATAATGATTATCGCAATATTAATGGATTCTTCAGCCACCGCTTTTTAGAAGCATCTCCCAAGGACTACGACTGGATATCAAAAGGAGTAGGCGCAGCCGAGAGCAGGGGATTCTAGTCAAAAATCGAGCTCGGATCGGTTCGAATTCGAATTGAGAGCCAGAGCTTGCGACGCCCGCCAAATCTACTATATCAGTAAAAATCTTGACGTCTTTCTGCAAGTAGTTAGGGTAGCCCGGACTTGATCATCGCGATATTAGCTTACGTTCAAGAATCTGGACACCATCCTCGGGACGTTTTCGAGGAAAAGCTCAAACCATGAGACCGTTTATTCCAGGGGCTATCTGAGGACAGGAACACCTCGAGGAAAGGTCTCTCCAGGATCTCAGAGGACTTTCTGACCATCACCTGGCACTTCAGTATCTCACCGGGTAACGAACCCATCAGTCCAGGCGATCGACCGTAGAGCGGGGGAGTGTCCAAAGGCCACTGATTGGCTCCGTCATTTTTGGGACTAATTAGTAAAAATTACAATTAAGCCATACATTGATGTGTGTGGGCGTGTGAATCTGAGCTTCCCTCTCCACCACCCACACGCGGTCCCGATAAAGGCGTCTTCGGACACACTTTCCCTTACACCTGCTCTATTGACTGTTTCAGAGAGCACCACCTGCTGTCGGTGTTTATCAACCAACGGCCAGGTCATGAGTGTTATTGATCGGTCGATTTTTACCGATCGATACTTTTTATGTCATACGCGTTTCACTGGAACAAAAAAATATTTATCATCAAACGTACTTACGTGGAATCGGTAATTAATAAAACTTCCGAAATTTCGTCACGTTTTACCATTTTTTTTATTTTTATTTTTTTTTTTTATTTTTTGCCTTAAAAGTATAATTTTTAGGATCGTTATCGAACAAGAGTTTCACAAGATATATTTGTATCTTTTTAAGCCCAGCGTTGTCGTTTAAAAAATTGATATTATTAAGTTGTTGAATCACAGGGCCATTAATTTTCGTCCAAGCAAAGTGTAGTTGCAAAGTGTACAACTGTATCAAAAAAATTCCAAGCTCTTATTAAAACTTTATTTGTTAATTTGGATAAAAAATTTCCATCCTTCTACCCACAGGAATTTTTCAAGTTCTTCGTTCTCCGTTTAATGAATGAAAAAAAGAACAACAATCGGTAACCACATGAATATTGTTTGTCAAGACGGTTAAAAATACTCGGTGTGCACGCAGCGGATCGAGCGATCGCGGGGCAGGGCTCATCCTCCCAATTTTTAACGAGCCGTGTATGACATACTGCGAACGGAAGGGCAGCAATTACAATCGTACGGCAGCCAAAAAAAAAAAAAAAAAAAAAGATCCTGTCCCTCTTTGAGGAGGGAGATGGTGCACCACATAATATATGCGCGCGGGAGATCACCAAACGGACGGAAATACAAAGTTATATACAAAGTATAGCTGCTCTCTCTCAGCGCATGAAGCGTTTGTATTTATAGGTAAGAGGCCCAAATAAGACGAAGAAGCGTTTCAGCGCAACCGTCTCACTTAGATTGGCGGTAATCTTTTTGTCGTTCCGCATCGTTGTTGCATCGCTCGACTTTTTCCTTGTTGCTATTTTTAATGTTAGACTATTATTTTTCGCGACTTTACTATACACGCGTTGAGGGAAAAAAAAAAAAATGATGCGTGGGTGCGATCGAATGGGCAAATAATAATATCCTTTTTCTCTCAGAGACAATATGTATTTGATATTTTCTCCATCTTTAAAATCTAATGCTTTGCTGCATATCGGTGAACATAGTATTGTATATATATATAACAGGCAATATATATATATGAATAATATATATATTTATATTATAACTATTTTATCCAAATTGATTATAGGATATCTAAGAAAGACGCCTAGCAGCGAGTTTTTCGCTTCGTCGTCGTCTTATTTATTACAATTAAGTACAGGAGTAGTTTTACCATTAGTCAATAGTAATGATACAATAAAAATAAAATAGTCGATCATAATAAAATCGTAAACGTAAGAATAACTGTAATATATGATTAAATGATAAAAATTGTCGTAAAAGTAATAATTATTATTTAATTGCTAATAATAGTTGATGTAGGAAATATTAATTTATAACTATTAATATTTTCTAAATCGCTCGCTGTTGCGTATGCCTATTATAGTGTATACGTAATACTTAAATACTAAAAATTATTTTCTCTAGTTTCGCGTCGACGTATCGAGACGCTTTTCATTACTTTCTTAACTATCTATTTTTTCTTTTAATGTTTAATTCTCTAGATCAACATCGAATTCTATGCCTCACGATTTCGTACAGCGTTGAATTAAATAACGACTTGATATCGAGCGCTTACCATTACAGACAGGAGCAGCAACGTCGCCAAGGCTTCTAACTTTAAGACTAGACAGCCTCATTATTATTTTTTTTTCATCCTACCATAGAACTTTCATTTTTTTTTGTATTCGATGTCTTTTTTCAATGAAATTTCTTCTTAACTGACTAGTTTACTACAATCACCGATTGTAGGCACTCAGTGATTTTAAGTTTTTTTTTTTTTATTATTATTTTATTTTTTTATTTACTTTCATACGTCTGACATTTACCTTGGCAAGGGTAACTCGTACCTTGCGATCACACTCGTGCTACGCACTCGTGTGCTCAACTGGTACTCGTTCCCTTCAACTCCGGCACTCGTGTGAGTCAATCACATCTCGTGCGGGAAATCGTCTTTTCCCCACTTGTTACGTAAATAACTATTTTAATCGTAAAATGGATCTTCGAATTTAAAAACAGCTGCTCATTTGTGGCGGCTTGGGATTAGCTGCGGACGTCGCCGAGTCGTCGATAATACCAAACGATACGGCATTAGAATTTGATTAAAAAGCATTTAAATAATAATGTACTCGGATATGAGAAAATAATGCCTTAGTTTATCTGCTTCACTTGTAAGTTAAATAAAAAAAACTATTGCTAAAATCTACTTTCACTTCGGTAATTTACGGATTTTGATAATTTTATAAATTTTGAGTAACTATGTACATAAATAGTGTTTTTGACATACTTTGGTATGACAAAAATTATTTTAAAAATACATATTAATCAACTTTGTTTGAATTAGATTTAGATTTGAAGCAAAAACTGTTAAGCCAATGTGTAAAATCACGCATGGTCCTTTTAAAAGGAAGTTAACGGTAAAAACTAATACTTAAACTTAAACTTCTGCTCACGGAACGGAATGTTTTTCAATTGCGTACCTAAAACAAATGAAACGCAATTAAAGAGCCCCAGGAGTGTCCTCTACATTNTATATTTATGTTTAATCGAAAAAATATTTTAAGAAGTATAAACTAGTTTTATTTATAAACCATCTCCGGTTGTTCTTCATTCCTCTCACACTCACTCGCACTCTGCTCGCGTGTGTACGCTTGACGCGCACCTATTTTTCGTTCTGCCTCGCATCTCGTTCCTTTTCTCTCTCTCTCTCACATTTGTCTCCTCTCCTCTTCGACGTTGTATAAATATAGATTAAGCGCCTAATATACTAAATAGTATCTATATTTGTCTTTGGGAGGCGTTCACGCGCAATCCCGCGACTCGGGTTTTTCTTCAACATGCATACGTATGTATATAATTCATGCGACTTTACTTTGCTCCTTTGTGCTTCGTTGTGTGCAAAGATACACCATCTGACTCTCGCTCTGATATTCGTGTTAAGGAAAGTAAGTATAAAATAGAGTCGGAGAGATCAGATAAGGCACGAGAGAAATATATTTTATACTGCATGCTACGTGTATAAGACTATATACGAGATTGGTCTCCCGAGTCGCGATAGTGAACTTGTTATTTTTTTTTTTTTTTTTGTTTCCTTCATTTCACATTTTATCGCTCCCTTTCACAATTGAATTTTCGATCTTTGAAAGATCCAATGGTTACAACATACTCGTGAGCACAGATAACAACGAGGCATCGAAACTCCACCACTGTCCCAACCGATCTTCGATAAAAAAATCATCTCCCGTCATAACCGATGTCAATGAAAAATTCGTCACGCGAGTTACAATTCAATCCCCTTGTCGTCAACGCGGATGATCGTCAAATTTTTTAAAAATGTTATACATCAACAATAAAAACTCCTCGTTTAAAAAACCTATGGCATCGGTGAAAGGTGCGCTCATTATTATCATCATCATCATCATCTTCGTCAAGTTGAAAGAAGAGCGAGCCTCCCGGAGACAGTGAGGCTTCAGGTATCTTCGAACGTGGCGAATCTTCCAGGGGGTGGTGGAGGGTCGGTCGACGCGTTTACTGGAGCCTCGCCTCCTGGGGCGTCGTCTGGTAGGGAAGCCCAGGGAAGGCGGCGCCCGCGGCTGTCGCTGCTGCCGGCAGACCCGCTGCTCCGGGAAGTGCCGCATACGTATACGGTGTCACGTAGCTCGCTGCTGCGGCGTTCGCTGAAATCGGTCGAACGGAGAGTCATTAGTACGAGGCCCTTATTTGAGGGAGCTTTTTTTTTTTTTTTTTTTTTCCTCGATTCATTTGGTGCCGCGGAAAAATCCAAAATTTCATCGAGAGCGTAAAAATTGTAACAAGAACAAACGAAACAACGTGGCTCTTGCGACACCTTATCGCGCCACAAGTGGCCAATTATAATATTTGTGCAAAGCAAATTGAGTTACGTTCAATTTCGTTTGTTGATAATGAGCCAAAAGTTTCTCATTGATTGATACACGAAATGGATTTTTCTTCGACCCAGCGACAGTAACGTTTTTATCAGCAGACCGGTGGAATAATAATTTTTCATAACGCACGCGCTCGCGTTAACCTGATTAACAGAACTTTCAATTTTCATACTCGCGTGTATGGTACCATTGACACGTTACTGTCGCCCATCCAAATGAAAACTGTCACAATAATGGTAATGATTGTAACAGTAATGAAAACACGACGAGAGGAATAGAGAGCACAAGCTTGATGAGTTTTTTTTTTTTTTTCCCTCATCCCGCACCAAAGAGAGAATCAATTTCTTCCGTATCGGTGTGGAAGACAATAAAAAAAAATTGAAACCAAACTACGAATGCTATTATCGATAATTGCAACAATGCCATTAGTACGTTAAATATGGAAAACCCATTGATCGAGAAAATGAGAAAAAACATTAAATCTACGTAAATGAAAATAATATGAAAATAAATGTCTACGCATACAAAAACGTGTGTAAGTTGTAAAATAAATAAATATATACACGTTCACACGAGCACGTGCAGCCTTTGCGATATAATATGCGAAAAAGTGCGCGCGTGTACCTACACAGAGGTATCCAACTGAAGCAAAGCAAAGGTGCGAGATACGATCGCGTTTTTTTTTTTTTTTTTTTTTTCGCGGTGTCTTTATTTCTTTTTGTCAAATGTAAAAAAACTACTCTCTCTCTCCCTCTCTTCGCCAATCGTCCTGCATATCCAGCCTCTATGTGATGTGTATAATTTACTAAATCACAGACCCTACGTGCTCTCGTTCGAGAGTGGTTATTACGTCTGAATTTATTTCAAGGGGTGATTGTTGCTATACAATTTTTTTTTTTTTTTTTTTTTCACATTGAGAACGGATAGCAGGACATATGAAAAGTATATAACATATGCAGCATAAGAGAATGAGCCCACGGGGAGCTCATCGAGTAATAATTGTTGTACAGACAGATTTTGTTTTACCGCCACCACCACCACAACAACAACAACAACAACAGCAACAACAGAGGGCCAGGCAGGCGAGATCCCGGGAGGAGCAGATAAGTATATGATATTCTAATGCGTGTGGCGCAGCAGTGAACTTTGCGCATAAAAAAAAAAAAAAAAAATTGTACGTATCATGTGTTCGTTTAAGCATGCAAAACGGAGTCTTCTTTATATATTTTATTTTATTTTTCTTCTGTCCTTTAGGAAACTACTTGCGTATTAGTGTCTGCGTCACGCGATTGACAAGCTCGTGGAAAGTATATGGCAAATTGGTGATATTTTAAATTATACAAAAATTATGTCGTCGGGGGACAAATGCTTGTGGTTGTATATAATAATAAATGTTTTTTAATTAGCGAAGGGGGAGAGATGAGATATTCCTTCGGAAATTCTGTTTTAGTTTGTTTCCATGAATTTTTAAAATGCACATGCCACTTGAGTTCTTGGCAAAAATGAACTATAAAATTTAAAAAGAAAAAAAAAAAAAACGTTATTCCGCTATAAAAATGCAACCTTTACAACGCGTGATACGTGTTTAAAATGTTAAGAATTGACGTGAAAAATGTCATTGCAAAATTGCAAAAAATAATTACACCCATGTCATGCTTCCCAACGTTATATATATATTGGCAAAACATTACTGATATCTGTATACCGTGCAAAAAAATGCATGCAGAAAAAAAAATATTACCTTAACATAAAATTACCAACTAATAATTTTGAATGGCCCTTTATTTTTACGATTCGGTAAACAAAACTTTCGTACCCAATTATTTTGCCAAAAAAATGCAAAGAAAATAATGTAATTGAAAAATTCAATCCTTGTGTGATGTAATGATTTTATATGTATGTATTGCGGTATAGGTACTCTGTGTAAATATTCAATCCAGCTACTAAAGAAAAGAAAGAGGTCTCTCTCCCTTCAAAACTTCCTTCAACATCAACGTATTAAATCGGTAAAAAGAGCCATTTTTATGTAATTATACTATAAAAGAACAAAAGGTATATTGATTCTAAATTTTTTTCAAAATAAAACCGTGTACAGCGAGAACCATGGAAGAAAAATCCAGGCAAAAGAAGGAAAAACACAATATCCCAGGAATCTTTGAGCATGTACAAAAGGCCGATTCTCGTAAGAATCGAGAATTTATTAAATTAGTAAAAAACGGCCCAAATTACGAATAAGATTCTAAAAAAGTTTCTGCGTTTTTGAGTTGTTTGGGCGATTTTTCACTGGAAAAAAAAAAAAAAAAAAAAAAGTAACCCCACAAACGTCGTCTTGTTGTGTAGAAAGATTGTATTTGGCATTTGTCTCGAAAACTATAAAGCTACCAAGCTACAGCGGAGCAAGTGTACCGAATAAGGAAAAAGAAGAAACCGTCGACTCCGTAAGTAAACGTCGCGTGGAGAAAAAAAAAAAAAAAAAAAAAAAAAAAAAAAAAAAAAAAAAAAAAAAAAAAAGTGTCAATAAATAAACGAAAAAAAAAAAAAAAAGAGGAGAGAAAATAAATAATAAATATGTATACGCGATAGAATAGAGTTAGAGATAGAGCTGGCTATAGTGTGTGCTACCGTTGCCGCGCAGCACGGATGGCAGAAGACACGCCTGCGGCAAGAGCGTCTTCTCGAGCCGGTGGTGCATGAGCAGGGCGTTCGGGCTGCCGTTGCTCTGGTGGTGTTGTTGCTGTTGCTGCTGTTGATGCTGTTGGTGCTGCTGCTGCTGGTAGTGGTGGTGGTGGAGGTGAGCCTGAGGCCCGGACAATCTGACCGGGCCAGCGTGGTTGATCAGCTGGGCGGGCTCGGGCGCCTTGGCTGCCACCTTCAGGGGGGACATACCGGCTGCCGCTGCGCTCGTGTACGGGTACGCCTCGGCGAAGTTGTACGAGGTCGTCGGGTAGGTGGCCGCTGCGGCGGCTGCGTTGTGGTACTCGTAGAACTGGGAGGCCGCGGCTACGGCGGCTGCGTGGCTCAACTGGGTGGCCGAGGGCAGGGACACCAGGCTACCCGGGGCCGCTGCCGCGAGGTAGGGTGTCTGGTACACGTAGCCCGGTGGAACTCTGGAAAATAACAACACCCGAGGTCGACGTCGTTGAATTCACAAAGTGCCTCGTTAAAGGATGTGGCTTCGTTGTTTCATCTTGTTTTACGTGGGGGAAAAAGGGTTTCAGGGCTCATGATGATCTCTATGAATTGATGTTGAGTGGACATTTATTTTTCTTTTTATTTATTTTTTTCTTTAATTTTGTCAACATTTTCAACAATGTCCATCCCCAACAATTAACAGAGCACGTGGGTTTTAGTGAAAGAGCGATGCGAGGGATGTGTCGATCGTGGCCGGATTTCACCAAGTCTTCCAGTGAAAACACATCATTTTTTATTGGGATCATTTCTCTGGTAAAAGTGTCTTTTTGTGCAAACCACAATTTACTGTACATTGTTCAAGCAGAAGGGAGCCACGCGAGGGAAATTAAAGGTGGGAAAGGGACGGGAAATGCGTGTTATTACACCAAAGCGCAACTAGGTTTAAGCTTGACTGTGGAAATCGGCCGAGCGATCGACGCTCCTTTGCATGTTTTATTTTTAAAAGAACCAAAGAAAAAAAGGAAAAAAAATGGCAAAAAAAGAAATTATCAGTAAAAAAAAATAAAAATAAAAAACACTGAGTGATAGGCGAGTTACAAAACAATCAAAGAAGTCCGAATAAGTCGCCAAATAACAGAAATTAAAAGTACCAAAGAAAAAAAGGAGAAAAAAAAGAAGAAACAAAAAAGAAAAGAAACCAAGAAACAGCAAACCAACGACAAACGTGTAGGTACTGCATGAATATAAATACTTGTCGGCACACGGCACACGGCACACGATTATCTAACACCAACGTTAGTACCTTCAAATCGCGATAAATATTACAACAGGCAGGACCAAAATGTATAATTCCAGTAAACACTTGTGTGCACTTTAAGGGTCTTTTATGCTGGTACCCTCTGGCAACCTCTTGGTATCCATTTTTTTTTTTTTTTTTTTTTGTTATTTGGATTACAGGGCAAGTTTCGTTCATTTTTGGGGATACCCCGTAAGGTAATTCAATTACTTGTTAGAAAACATTTAAATAAAAGGGTTAATTATAATTAATATCTGGTAACAACGAGCACAAGCTACAAGTTAACCAGTTACAAGTGGCCATGGATTTTGTGTAAAAACGCCATTTCAAACGTTAACACAAATACATTCAACTATCGCAAATGATATTCTACGCATTAAATATTAGACAGCGTTAGGTGAGCTTGCACGTTAGCCGCCCATCCAATATGATGGAAATGATAAAAAACAAAAAAAAAACAAAGAAAAAAAAGATGAATGGTACGATTTCCAAAAACAGAACCACACGACGCGTGTGTGTCTATCCGAACCCCCGATCGCTCGACCCTTTCGGAAGCGCTTTTCACTCATCGCAACAATTACCGAGCAAACACTTGCCAGTCACCAATCGATATCTAAAAAAAAAAAAAAAATTGTCAACCTCATGTCGCGCGGGCGTGTTTGACGTTTCCCATCTCAACGGCCATGCACTCACCTACAATCTAGCGCAGGACGCACGTACGGGTAACCGATTTTCCCGGGAAAATAGCCCTGAACTCTTTGTGTCTCGCGTCGTCGTGTCCATTTCTGGTCAGCGAGTGAATCGATCGCGCGGACGAACTAGCGCGGGTTACCCGCTGGCCGTAGCCAGGCTTCAATCGATACCACGATGCTCGGACACACGATGGGCTCGCACACACGTGATGTTCTGTTTTTTTCTACCTCTTTTTTCATATCCTGCGACCTCGAGTGTGTTACTCGTACTGTCGGACCACAAAATTTCGGGAGTTTTCTTTTTAGATCAACCGATCGGTCAATGAGCTTGGCCGCACTTGCCGATACGTTAACTGTTTCTCTAAAACCATACCGATTTTTCCCAAAACTCTGGAACTGTTACGAGTCGGCGTTTGGAAAATCTACAGAATCAAAGGGCAATACCTTAAACCGATGGATAATAAATGTAAAAGGAAAAAAAACTTCTAGCAGCAAAATTCCCGTTTATCCTTCCGATGCACACGCGTGTCCCGTTCCACCTCCTCCTCCTCCTCCGATCGAATTTATCTTTCCGTTGCATCTTGGCGCTCGTCGTCTGCATTATGGATGGCTCGCGTGTCTCCGCGGTCTTTCGAAGGTTACACTCCCCGGCCGAGCTGGGCTCCCCATTACGTATACACATACGTTCATACATCCACCCACCCACCGTTTTTGCATACTTCATTCGATTTCCCGCCACTATATATGTGCTCTACCCGGACACGAAAATCGCTCGCGTGTATCGATGGATACTATCAGCCATTCGGCTTATACGAACGCGATACCAATCGGCAAAAGCTTACTTTTTTTTTTCAATGCACGTGTATGAGCCGTATAACTGACAAATATGCGTCACGGCGTAATAACAACACGCGCACGCCTATCCTTATCGGGAAATCAAAGCTCCGATGTATTGCCGATTTCCCAGCCCCAAGGGTCATCGTCGTCGAGTTGTTTCCTTCCTTCCTTCCTACTAGGCCGTCACCCCTCAATTTCCGTCGCAAAGTGACCGCGGGAGCACTTGCGGCTATAGCCTCGATAACGATCTCGTGCTCGCGCGAGCGCGTGTCCCACCGAGCGCGACCCCTTTTTTTTCCAGGGAGCCGTCCCCGCGAGTAAGGACGACAGCCGAGCTGCTAATTCACCCGTGCCCGTCTACTCAATATAGGCTCGCTCGGCGCGACCCATTAGGCTTTTCTGCGAACGCGTGCTGTACAGCTACCAGCCGCTACAGTCCGCTTCGGAAGTTAATTTTATTTTGTTCGCCAGAGGAGTCGCGGGCTTTTCGGCTTCGGGCCGCTAAACGAAGAGGAGATCTTGGTAAGACGTTTCACCTGACAATTGACGCGGATCGTGCTGTAAAATAAATATAATAATCCATGGAAATTTCCATCGATGTACAACAAAAAAAAACACGACCTGCTCTTCCCCTTTCGCCTCGTTGTCCTCGAGGGTGACTCGGCGGTACTTTCGCGTGTACGGTGTGTCCCGACAGCGACGAGCACACCTGCGCGCGGCTGATAAATTATTACGCGATTAGAAAGCACACACGCGTGTTCCAGTGGTGTGGGTGTACAGTTCCTATACGCTCATCCCTTCCCCCCGTGTACAATTTTTACAAGCGCCTAAAGTGACATTGTCGCTGGTAATCGCTACGTAGGCATACCTCGTACCGTAATTTAAGCGCATTTGCGTGGATGAGGTGTCACCGATGTCTTTTTTTTTTCCATCGTTCACGCGTGACTTTCTTTTTTTTTCCCCTACAATCGCGTTTCCCTCTCTGTAAGTGGATTGCGCGCTGAATAGCACTCCGATAATGAATAGAAGGTACGAGCATATCGGCCAACGGGTATTTATATACATGGGATATAATGGCCATTTTTTCATTACTTCGAATCGACGTGCAAGCTCGATCTTGTTCGCTGAAACAAAAGCTCCCTTTTGCCATTCAATTTCATAAAATTGTCGTGAAACGACAAACAAGTACCGCACAAAAGAAACAAAAAGCTCCCCAACAACTCGAGCTTGCGGTACCCGTTCATCGCACCCATGGCGGATCACCGCGAGAAATCCGGGCGAACAAATGGCACCCCCAAAAATCTCCCTCCCTCTCCTTTTTCGCGCGCTGCAAACACAGTTCAGCGAGGTAATGGCGAGGGTACGCGTCACATATACATACACACGGGAGGGCAGCTCGCGGGATGACGATGAGCTTTCGCGTCGGCGTGTCGCAGGGCTTGCGGAGGTGCGCCGGCGCGCGAGGATAATCCAATGGGATGATCCGCCAATCCGGGCGCTCGCCGGGCGGCTTCCTACGCCCCCTATCCCTCCCCACGGGCCCTCCAATCGACCCTCTCTCGTGTCGACCCAGCGTTCACACCCTCTTCCTCCTCCTCCTCCTCCTCCAGCGGCCTCGCAGATAAGCTGCTCGCGATTTCCCTCTCTCGCCTATTATATCTCGCGCCCGACCTTCACCACCACCATTTCGTTTTACACGGCAACGATAATTACGCGTCTTTTCGTTTCAATCGACAGTTATTCCAATTGTAATATCCGCACCGCTTCAAATTGATGCTTCTTTTTTTTTTCACCTTACGTGTTGATGTATTTTAATGAGGTGCAAATATACATTTACATCGGGGACCAAGGCCGTAGAGGAGAGAAATCGAGATAAGGCGCCGAGATAATGTACGGCGGCCTCGCGGAAGGTAGCTTTTATTCGGTGTTTCGAGCGATTAAAATAATTAAACGATCGAGTTTTATTTATTTATTTATTTTTTTTTTTTTTTACGACCATAGCTGAAAGATAGAACAAAGTGATCGGTATTTTCCTAGCCAAACCGGGAGGGTTTGGGGGGGGGGGGGAAATAAGCCAAAGGCAAAAACGTGAGCGCAGTAAACAAATATAAAACGTATTCTTCTGTATGGTCACTTTGGCAGTTGATCGAGACCCGGGCGCGCATGTTCTTTATAGCTTCGATACCCGCGTCGGAAGATTTTGGCTCGGCTCCGCTCTCGTGTATACGGGCATCGCCAAGGACAAGATCAGATCGATTGGCCACTGCGTGCTGTATATACACCCGCGTGTTTGTCTCGTTGCGCGGAATGACGAAACTTTTATTATTTTCGGTCGGGCATTGTTGCGACCCTTCCATCCCCCGCGGCACGTTTCGAAATACTCGCAGGTGGTGTCGCGCTGTTACATATTACCCGTGGGTAAACCAAAGTCAGGTGTCTCTTGCAAATTGAACATAAATTGAGGAGAAAAAAAAGACACGCGTGGCTTCTTCTATGATGTTCCGTTATCTCCATCAAATAAAATGAAAAAAGAAAAAAAAACGAGGCTCAGTTCTTCCACTTGAGCATACAAGCGCACTCCTAGCACGCTCTCTTCTCGAGCGCGCGGTGTAAGAAAAAAAAAAAAAAAAAAAAAAACGAAGCAGAGTATCCCGAGAGAGAGAGAGAGCTTGACACGGCAGGGACAGGTGGCGGCTAAATAAAGCCTCGGCATAGCTGGACCGAAGCCAGATAAAGAGCCTCATCCTCTCGCGAGACTTTTGCCGTGATGCCGGAGATGTTAAACCTATACACTCCTCGGCCCGTGTTGAGTTACTACGCCGATCTCTCGATATCTTTGAGGGCCTTTTTGCGCAAAACTAAACGAGCCCACTGTCTCGCACTTATTAATAATTCACGCCCTCAAAGTCGCCGTGCCGATTTCGTGCCCTAATGAGCTTGCGGGGGGACACCATATAGATGAGAGACTCGCGATGTGTTTTTTTTTTTTATTTGTCACGCGGGAGGGATTTCCCGTTCTCTTTCTTTCGTTTCCGTCTCTTTTGGTTGCTTTTCTCGTACGAGCAAACGGAGGGGGACTGATTTATGCTGGCGCGCGGCGTTATTTTTGTTGGAGCCTCCGATGTGCCTCTTCCGAAAAGCAGGGGGATCATACGTCTGTTACCAGGGCTGGGTTCGTTGAGCTCGCACGCTCTGTACACAGCTGTTTCGGATGTTGGTATTTTACTAGAATCGCCGAGTGCTTACCTTTTCACCTATAAAAAAAAAATTTACGCGATCATTCCAGAGACACTCGCTCGAGGCTTTTATTTTACCTGAACCTACACGCGTGGGTGTACTCGGCTACTCGGATTAGACTGGAGGATTCTTTTTTTTTTTTTTTTTTTCCCCAACTAAACTTTGGATCAGAGGTAAAATTATTTGCCCGAAGGGGTGTTTCAAACGGATAGAGTATAGCCTACCCAGAGGTGCGATTCCATTGCACACTGACCCATTAGTGTTACCAAGAAAGTAAAAAAAACAAAAACGTACAACACCAATAAAAAAAGAAAAGTAGTTAAATAAAGAAAATTACAACACCAAGAGCGACACCAACGAGTACACACAAATGAGGGTACATTTGAAGCCTTTCACCCGAACACGCACACACACACACACACACACAGCACCGGTTATTATTAATCATTAATGGTTAGCCTTATCTCGCCCACCTCGAATTATGTTCGTGGCCACGCGTAGCACAGGTATGGGGAAGTAAAGCAAGGGGGCGGGGGCGTACGTACACGCCAAGGGAAATATAGCTATTGGCTCTGTCGCGGCGACGAATTCATACGAGCATGTGTGTGCACGAGAAGCGCCTCGGACACACTTTTGTAGGTCACAATGCCGATGTATATATATGTATATGTACACGTGTATAAAATTCATACGTGCGCCCGATCGATCGATCGCTTTTCTCCTCATCAGGCCGGCTTGTTCTTTTATCTGCTTGTCGTATTCATTTATTCCTCGATTTTTGAGATCGGCAATCGAGGGATGAACGCGAAAAATTTCGTTTTACTCGTCCACTCGTGTTTTTACGAAAACATGCAATTGCGATAATTCGTTACTGGGACGTTGTCGCATCGATCTCTCGGTGGAAAAAAGCGAGAAACTGGTTCAAAGTTACACCTCACCAAATGCACCGTATCGATTGTCGAACCAATTTTTTGTTTGAATAAAATATCAGTGCAATTTCGATCATTGTCGGGGTGTTCTGGAAGAGAAAAAAAAAAAACCCACCCCGTGACCTACTGTTCGCAAACAAAGTTATGAGGGTCCCCAATGATTGCAAACAAAAAAAACCCCCCCAAAAGAGGGGGAAAGAAAGTAGCGAAGAAAATAGGAAACAAGTTGGAGAAAGGGTATAGAAGTCGGGGGGGCACGCGTCGAAAGTGGTGGCCCGTAGGGGAGGAAGCAAAAAAGGAAAGCTCGGCGATAAAATCGATCCGGGCCGGCGGCGGGCCGAAGGAGAGGGACAGGCGCGCACTGAAAAATTAATGCACCGGCGCTATCGTCCCCGTAAGTACAGGCGATGCCACTCATCCCTCTCTCTTTGCGGGTGCATGTGGGTCTGCGATGTTTCTAATTCGGTGAGGTCCGTTGCCCCGATGTACGGGTATACCTATATCGAAACAAATCAAAAGGAGAAAAAAGTCTAGACTCTCGATAAGTACGAGCAAAGGCAAGAGCTATACGCGCTCTCTTACGTCCTCTTGTTGCGTCGACGTGGGCTCTGACAGGCAGATATGGACACGAAGGGGTGGGGTATAACGAGATGCCCGTGAGATGCAGCGTGTGGTGTGTATACACTTGTAAAATTAAAAAAAAAAAAAAACCAAACTCACACACACACAAACAATCCGTCGAAGCACTCTACGTGACAAAAAAAAGCGAATGATTACTACTGATGTGTGACACGCATGGTATACATTAGGTATATCTAATGAAAAAAAAACAAAAACAAAAAAAAATACGTGAGTATAGTATAATAGTTCGTGATGCAAGTGACAAAAGTAGTGAATACACATGGTAGATGGAAAATAAATTTTTAAAATATACGTAACAAGTACTAGTGAGGTTATTGATAATCAGAGAGAGAGAGTAGCAGATGATGATGATGATTACAGTAGGCAAAAAAGACTCCGTACGACAGATAAAGTTGTAAAGTAATAAATGGAGAGGTAATTGCTTTCCAAAATTTAAGGGTGTCGCCATAATTGTATGTTCTCGTCGGATATGTTACGTGATAAAAGTTGTACGTCTCATGAAATTGTATACTTTTGACGGCCCTTGAGTTTTGTAAAACAATGATATTATATATGTATACTTCAGCGATACAGACGCCAATGATCGATTGGTTATTGACACAGCAGGTGATAAATTTTTTTTTTTTTTTTTCAAATACATCTACGTTGTTACGCATAAAAAGTTTCCCAACCCCGTTAATACAAGGCCGCCTTTGTTAATCAAATTTATTAATAATATTATTATTACTGCCATTAATTCATTACTATTATTGTTAAATCGTTATTGTAGTATTAGAAAGATTGATCAAATAAATAATAATAATGTGACATATGAACAACGAACAGTAAAACGTAAGATAAAAATTTCAGATAAAAAGGTAACAGAAGATCAAGAAAAGAAAAACATGAAAAAAAAGAAACAGTTTTCAACAAAATAGAAACAAACAAATTCAAAGTCTCTCAACAGCATGTCAATCATTTCAAAAAGTCAAGTATACGAGTTATCGTAGTAGTCGAATTACGTATCAATCAACCACCACTTCATGTAAAAAAAAAATAATAAAAAAATAAGAAAATAGTAAACAACGTGAACAAAAAAGAAAAAAAAACGAATAAATGAACAAAAAACACAACCAAAAAAAAACTATAAACCACGATTCTCTCACAACTAGTAAAGAAACTGCAATAATAATAAAACGAAAAAGAGTAAAAAAAAAGTAAGGCATATTACAAAAACACGGAGAGTAAAAAATACATAAATATTGTGACGTATTCGTACGTAGGTACTTCTTGGCTTCGTATTACGTGTGCGTGTGCCGCGACATTATCCTCTCCCTCTCCCCGCCCTCACTTTTTCTTTTGTCAACACTTTTGTCTTATTCTTTCTTTCTCTCTTTCTTTTTTTTTATTCTCATTTTATTGCGCTCATCACACCAGCCTGATATCACTTTTAATTAATCTGGCTTTGCTAGAGCTCTTTCAGGTAACGCGCCTCCCGAGATTCATCAGGATGCTGAAATGTCATACATGATACACATTTGTGAGATTTTTCTAATCAAGACTCCACAATAATTTTTACTACCTCTAGTGATTGATTTTTTTTTTTTTTTTTTGCACTGTTGTGCCAGTAATTCTCAAAATAAAATGCAGAAATATATACAAATGAAAATTGTGAGCGCTGATGTTTAGTTCATGAAAAAAAGATAAGAAATTCATGTAGGGAATAAAGTTTTAAAATATTTAAATACATAAACACATGTACGTGTACGAATATTCATAGGTAAAACATAAATAATGTACNAGGAGAAAAAAAAGACACGCGTGGCTTCTTCTATGATGTTCCGTTATCTCCATCAAATAAAATGAAAAAAGAAAAAAAAACGAGGCTCAGTTCTTCCACTTGAGCATACAAGCGCACTCCTAGCACGCTCTCTTCTCGAGCGCGCGGTGTAAGAAAAAAAAAAAAAAAAAAAAAAAAAAAAAAAAAGTAAATATAAAAATAATGTCATTTGTTCTGTTTCTTCGTAAAAGAGACTCACCCGTACTGTCCTGGTAGAACTGTGGGATATCCGGCGCGAATGCCAGCGGCAAACGGGAAGGCTGCAAATGAAAATAACAAAGAAAATCATTGCATGCAGTTCGCTCTTGGAGCATTTGTTTTAATTATTTGTTTTTAACGCTCTCATAGTGTGCTCAAGTATCGATTTACACATCTCTCGCCTCACCAATATCGTACATCGTTCTTTCAACGGGCAACAACTATTGTTTATCTGCTGTCATTTGTCATTTCAATACGGAAGAAAATATTTTTAACTGATGAAAATTATTCTTATGATTGATTTTCAACGCTAACCTCAATGGTCATTTCATATTATCCTCGAATGATCGTCCCAATTTATTGTACGTACAAAAATATTCTACAAGGATCAAGTGAAGCTTCCTTTTCAGATATTTACGCTAATTAAAAATTAGATTTTTTGTTAAAAAGCACGTGACATGTTTGGGCCTACATTTGTTTTCCGATGCATAAAGTATACTGTACGAAAGAGAATGTTATCATGAAAAAAATACAATGCTCGATAAACGATTTTAAGTAAAAACAAAAAAACCTCCCGATCAACGACACTCGACCTGCCAATGAATCAATGCTCCAAAGGTAATCTCTGTAAGAATAAAAACACCTTCCGAAACACGCTGAAAAGATACTCCAGTCATGCATGGCCAAAGTGCGCTACGCGTAATAATAATAATGATAACATATGGTATATAAGTACGGATGAGAGCCGAGCGTGCAATTTTAGAACTAAGGGCGAAAACAGCGCCGCGAAGCAGACAAAACGAAACAACATCGCGGCACAGCAGTGCTTCGGTATAAAAAAGCGCAAGAAGAAGACGCGCAAGCGACAGAGAAACAGTATTTTGGCCCGAGTCCCGCCCAGGGGGGGGGGGGTGGAAAAACGGCTCGCGAAATTCATTGCGCATTGCTGTATTTTAGCGCGACGCGACTCACCGTTACGCGCCCGTGACTTTAGGACCGAAATACGCTTACTTGCAACTCCGGAGCTTTTTTTACCAAAGTTCTTTGTTCTTTGTCGTTGCACGCTATAAACTTGGAAATCGATCTTCCGAGAGCAAAGATATTCGACGTTGCATCGACGACGCGTTGCAATAATCGTCATGGCGCGTCTTTCGGTGACAGTCGAAAATAAAAGATTATAATGTGCACATACATCCGACAGGTCGCGCAAGCACTAATGGCCATTTTGGCAGTCGTTTGATCAAACGTGTGGGCGACTTTTTAAATAAAACCTCAAACGCAACAGCGACATCGAGTGGCAACAGCTGCTCTACCGATCGATCCATCAGAAATAACGAGGGCGTTTTTAGGTACAACTCGTCCCGCGTTCGTAAATCTCGCGTTTCTTTTGATGATTTTATTTTCCGCGTTTGACAGTCTCGTTGTAGTATAGTCGTGTTTTGATACACGAGAGTTTTTCGAAACGTCGAGAATTTCGGAAACCCTCCCGCCTTGCGAGGGACCATATTTTTATACTTTAAGCTCCAACCGATGGTTTTAGGTGCAGGTTTCGTGGCTTATTGGAGTTTTTCTTAATGGTTGTTTACTCAGTCGCGTTTCACAAAGTAGTTTCTAAATTTACATCCTCTGCCGTCCATACAGTATCGCTGTGTCTGTTTCGATACTTCTGGCACATGGTGTTAATTATTACTCTGATTTGGATCGGCCTTTGACCATTTGTCATCCAACGGTCAACGTGTATATACGATTCGAGGCAATAAGTCCTCGCATTGACGTTTGTGCAAACGTAAAAAAGATGAAAATAAACGTGACAATGGATGCAAAAGTAGAACGCAAAATGTTTTTTCAAAGCTCGAAGCGACAAAAGATAAAATGCTAAGCACCTGTTGTAATATCATATACTCGCACACACAAACACAAACACAAATTCAACAACGGTAAATAAATTATTAGTCCTCCTTAGTATCGTTACTTTTAGCGTAAAATCATCAACATGTGCAAAACGTAAGAGTTTCATCAAATAAAAAAAAAAGTTTCGTACAGAGATATACTTGTCGTATATTTGTTTGTTTATATTTAATGTTTTTCGTGAAGCTGAAGGTGCTCGTAAGACAAGGTGCAAAAATCCCATAGTAGTAGGGTCAAAAACCTGTCTCCCCCGCTACCATCCGATCCACGTGGACAAACATTATTTATTGATTTATTTGATGAAATCGAATTGATCGTCTGAACTCTTCAAACGTGATAAAAATCGTCTACGTAAACATGCCAAGATATCAATTTTTTCACTCCAGAGCAAACAAACTCGAAACAATACCATCCAAGCTTCGACACCCGAGAAAATTTATTGACGAAAGTGATCCCAGGCGTCGAAGCTGATGGAAAGATGTACGAGCTTTGAGAGAGAGAGAGAGAGAGGGAGAGAAAAAAAAAAGAGTTAGTAAATTGGTAAAAAAAAAACAAAAGGTAAACTCACCCGTTTGTAGGTTGCCACGAGGCTTGGCGCCGAGTATCGCCAGATTGACGTTAGCCTTGCGGCCGTCGATTATGGGGTTCGGGTCCTTACAGGCTCGCTCCGCTGCTGGCCTGTCACCCATGATCACCTGGATTGCACACAACCAGAAGGGCATCGCTTTATTAACGACACACTCCTCATACTCTCAGCCATCGTTTTACTACTCTTGTTATGTATACTTATATCTCCCTTATCGATGTTTATTCATAATTGAATTTTTCTTTTTTAACAAAATAACGTATAGTTTGCGCGAGAAAAAAAAATACACATCGACTGGTACAACGAAAACACATGTGTGTGCGAATGCTTTCTCACGTTCAAAGCCTTTACGACCGGTATTATCATCATCACAACAGAAGCGTAAAAAGTCCCCTCGCTACAGCGATAAGAAGGTATCTGCAAACAGGTTGGCTTCCCTTTCGTATCCTCCTCACGCGAGTCAAATTTAAAGTTGTAGATTGTTTACCACAGCTAGGCTCATTTGCACAGGTATAATTTTTTTTATCTTTTTCCTTCCGCGATTGAGCTCTACGAGGCAATGCAAGCGTACGTCAATGTATACAAGTGGGGAAAAATGAGTGGGACCGCGAATAAAAAAAAAAAAAAAAAGTTAAACAATCCAGGGAAGTAACAGGAAAACATGTAAATTAATGGGAATCATTAACAATCGTGACACCAATAATCGACAAAGAGTCGCACAACTTTCAACAACAAATAAAGCATGAGTAGGAAAAAAAAAAAAAAAAAAAAAAAAGAAAAAACCTCAAAATATACTGATAAAAGTCTCAACTAAAAAGAAAAGAGAAGACAACAACAATAAATTAATCTCCGAGTCTATACCACATCAAAAACAAAAAATAAAACGACAAAAGCCCACTCGGAAACAAAAAGAAAACATCCTTGTACCAACCCAAAAATCGTTCAACCACTGGAAAAAAACGTGAAAAAAAAAAAAAAAACACGAAAGGAGGAAGAAAGAAAAAAAAAAAAACGCCAATAGAGTAAAAAACCATTGAGAGCATGAACCAACTTACGAATCCATATCCCCTGCTCTTGCCGGTCTGCCGATCGGTAATGACGACTGCCTCCTCAATGTCGCCGTAAACGTTGAAGTGCTCCCTGAGGCTCTTGTCGGTCGTGTGGTAGGGTAGCCCACCGACGAAGAGCTTCGTCCACGTGGTGTCCTTCTGCTGAGGCGTGGCACCGGCCAGGGCGCCCAGGCCCGTGACCAGGTCCTCGGGATTGGGAGCCAGGCCCGCGGCGCTCGGCATCAGCATCCTCAACAGTTCGCTGCCTATTTCGCCGCCTCGGCCGTACGCGATGCTTGCCTCCAGCTCTCTGTTGTTGGCTGATTATTCACTGCTACTGCTTAGCGCCGAGTCGTAGCACTCGCGAGGTGGTACTACGAGCTGCTATAGGCCTTTTGTTTTGCGCTCGTCGATCTGAAAACAGAGGAAATGCGGTGTTTATTTTTCCGATACATTCTCTTGACAAACGCAAAGTCCTCGATTTTTACCGCAAAATCGCAAGAGTCTCGAGGCTCTTGCCATTTTCAAAAAAAAAAAAAAAACTTGAAAATCCACCAGAGACTCTCAAAGAACTCCATGCGACTTAAGATGCAGACTTGGAGGTCTTTTAACCATTGCAGTATTTTATCAATGGCTCGAAAAGTCCGTGAAAAATTCTTAGCTGAAAATTACCCAACTATCGTCGCACAGCACGCAAAAGGAGACAAAGGGAGGAAAAAGGAGAGATAGTAACACATTAAATACGAGTATGACAAATGTATGGGATACAAGGAACTATATGGAAGAGAGCGAAAAAAGGGGAATCGGGCAATCGACCCTTATTTTATAAATAATAGTAATATAGACACACACGGGGCACACATTCGTATATGTATGTATATAGTTTCACGCGTGGCGCAGCATCGAATTTTCTCGCCCCTCGTGCACCCTCGCGTTTTCAAAATTGCTTTTCTGCAACGCGCTCGGTCCCCCCGTCATTTTTACACCACCGACAACTGCAGGGAAAGAGAGATGACGAAGGGCAGGAGGAGGGGAGGGCACAGAAAATTCGAGGTCATTGACTGGAGAAAGGAAATAGAAAACTGCTGCACGCCGTATGGGTAATATACATAGCACAATGAGTTGCAGCGTTTTCCAACCCTGCGTGCCTCATACGCTCAACCGTTACAGCCCATCTCTCTGTCGCAGTGGGGTTTGACTCGCGAGAGTTTCAGGGGAGGCCAAAACTCTTGTCTCCCTCTCTGTCTTTCACTCTGCGTGTAACCTACATAAACATCTGTACGGTTGTGTGTGCGTGCGCGCGTGTGTGTATGTATAAGCAGGCACGTACACACCCTCTCTCCGTATCTTTTATGCTTTTACCCTCGCTTTTACCGCTCACCTGGGGTCCCATTGTGCGCCTCGCAACGGTATACACAGTGTACGTAGTCACCGGCGCGCGCAAACCCTCCAAATGGGCCCCTTGGGTTGTTTGACCGGCTTACGCTCTCTGCAGTGGGGATATGCGGTAGCGGTCGCAAGAGTACGTGCAAAAGGCCCGCGCTTTTTTGGCTGCGCCCCTAACTCATGACTCTCGGGTGGCTAATATATATATATATGTGTGTGTGTGTATGTGTATTTGCCTATATGGATGTAATGTATAGAGTCTCTAGTTTACGGTCCATCGTGCAGACGTGACATGGCTGCATCTGCCGGCTGGTTGTATATACATATGTACTACCTATACTTGTGTACGAAATGATCCAACACGTAGCGAAGGGCAACCTTTCGACGCTGTCACGAATGCTGGTACTGGTATTGTTTTTCGAGAAGTATACGATGTGGACCTCGGGCACTGTTTCTGTATACCTGCTTTAGCGGAGCCCATCTCTAAACTTGTACAATACCGTAACAGGTAGCTTTCACTCGAACTCATGGCGGTAGAATATTACCCGAGTTGGCGCTCATTTTGGAAATTCTGTGCAATCGCGATGAATCGAATGCGGTGCCGATTTTTAACAATCACCAACAACCCCTGAAATATAATCGGTATTTGTTTATCCAAGGATTTTTTTGTGCGATTTTTTTTTTTTTTTTTACGCAAATTTTTAGGAAGGTGAAGTAAAAGGTCAAGGTTTTTACTGCGGTGTATTTTGAGGGATGAACAAATCCGTCCCAAAGACGTGAGAACGTACTCTACACTCATACTCACACCTATATACGAGCCTCTCGAGCCATGAAAAAACTTGTACGATTAATCGCGCGTAACATTTAATTATACCGATGATGCCCAAAAAACATACACACGACAATGAAGTAGGGAGAGGCCAAATTTACTGTTCAACGTCTGAAAAATTCAAAAATGTTTGGTGCACTTGAGAGTGAGGGAAAAAAAAAAGGGCTACATGAGGCCCTTTGCCCCTCCGCTCCAACACCCCGTGGCGACGAGCCCAAAGGAGAGAAAGAGGAGGGAGCTGCTGTTGGTAACCAATGTATATATACATATGTATGTATCAACACAGTGATCGGAGAAGAGGTGATGCATATATATTGTACGTGTGTAGGTTCACCGTCGTTAGGTCCCCCAAAGTCGGGTCCGACAGCAGCTGCGGGTCGGTGCAGAAAAACCGGTGGTGCCCTCCCTTATTCTGTCCTGTACAATGCTGCACATATACATAATAAATATGTACCATACGTGAACGCGGGTACTATTTTGTGCAGCACACGTACGTGGCTTAAAAGGCTGCAGGGGAAGCGAGAGGACGGAGGGAGGGAAGGAAGGGCGAGAGGGCAAAAACTCGTTGTCGTCATCGCGGCCGGGGCCCGTTATACATATACATGTAGTAAGTATACACATTTTCAGCGAGGGGCCTCCCTTTTGTTTCATGTTATACCTACTAGTACTATACCTATACAGTGTATAATATGCGACATGGAGTATACGTACATATTATGTGCACGGTGGAACGAGATCGGCCAAAAGAGATGGTGATGAGGCTTAGAAGCTGCACCACCACGGGTATATATTATATGGTATAGGGGATGAAACAGTCGGAGGGGAGAGGAAAATCCTTGATTTATCGATGTACACACCGAGGAGGGGCCCTTATACTTTTTACTTCTCGTTTTTGTGCGCACATCAGTTGTTCGCGTCGTATCATCTTTTCGAATGGGGAAAAAAAATCAAAAAATGAAACTAATGTGTTTGGGAACTGTTAATCGAAAGTGTACTTCTTAGGAAATTTTTCCTCCTTATTTGAGTGGTAAAAAAAACACCGTGCGAAATATTGTAAAAATAACCTATGAGCACAACTCAGTACTTGCAATTTACGGCGTACTATAATATAAGGTAATTTTTTTTTTCTATTGCATATACCTCAGTTTGAGACAAACTGTATAGATGGGTGGATTACTTTATAATCACTTCATGGGTGCACGTGTACATAAAGTGGCAAAGTAAGAAAAATCGTTAAAAATCCCTCGCGTACGACACACACAGTCCTTGCAAGCTCTCCCGATCGTCCGAAAGCTCGGGCGCGACACCGTGTGCTTTTTTAAACACGCGGTACAAAGTGGCTCGTCGGACAAACCAAAGAGCCGCGCGTACCATCTCGGCAGACATACATGTATACATTTATATGTTATATCCAGCGAGTCGGGGGAAAAGACCGGGGCGCGCGTGAGTTTCCGAAATGAAAATAAAGAGCCCGGAGTGGGATACGTATACACCGCCACGCGAGTTAGCGCAAAACTCGACAAAATTTCTCTATAAATAGAGCCACGACGCCTCTGCTCCGTTGCCTGGCTCCCAGTTTTCTCTCTTTCTGCGCAAGTGTATAATATGTAGCTGCTGTGTGCGGCCTGCAACCGTGTCATATATACATATATAGAACGCGCGTGATAATCCGTCCATCGGTGATTCTTCCTCTTTTTGTGCTATTTCTTCGCTTTTGGCGAGGAATGCGTTGTCGTGCCATGTATTTTGTAAAAACTCTAGTTTTTACTCAACAAATCATCAAAGTTGCGTGAATTGTAAAAATTAAGATTTGTATCCATACACCGTAACAGTATAAACTTGAAGGTACATTCAACGATTGTAAACATTGCGAGGGATTTATTTGCTGAAAGCTAACGCTCCAGCAGCTACTTGCTACCCTTCGAAGGCTAAAAAGCTAAAACGTTTAAATTTCCGGAATGTATGTATGATTCGAAAAACATGTAAGTATAGGTATATTCTTGAGAAGCTGCCGCGTTATCTTTGACATGTCTTTGGTACGGCCGATTGTTGGAGACATAGTTGCTTGCGTCGGTTCAGGTGTGCCCTTGAGCATTTGGTGTGTGAAAAACCCAGTACGCGTCATCGAAAGTCATTTACGATGTAGGTAACTTTTGTACCCCTGAAACTACGGGAAACCGCACAAATACGGGAATCTTCACGGTGCAATGTACCCAAAAAAAAAGAAGGAAAAATTGTAATAAAGGCAACCATCGATGAGTCCCGAAAAATAAATAAAGTAAAAAACGGCGTGAAAATAAAATAAAAAAAAAAAGCTCGTCTCAGCGTCATAGGAGGGATAAAAGCCAGGGGGACCACTACTGCTCGGTGTGCACGGGCGATCGCTTTCCGTGGGGCCCCCCCGAGTCGGAGCCAAGAGGCACTGTACGATATAATATTACGGGGAGCTTATAGGCACGGCCAAGAGAACAGCTAATACATGTAAGCTCGCACGCGTGTGTACGTTTGCGCGGGTATGTGTGTATAATATGTAGGTGCACCCCTGCTAAGTCGTCGTGTATATATATATGGTGTGCAACTGCTGGTGCTAGCGTGAAGATTGTCGAGGCGCAGACCGCGGGGTTTATTAATAAACACGACGTCGTGACGGAACACGTGCCCGTCTCTTTCTTTACCCCTCGCGCGAAAACGCCTCGGCAGAGGCAAGGACTCGCACATACTATTTACTACGGCTATACTGCTCCGGTTGGAAATAAGGATGATTTTGGCGAAAATTTTCGAGTTTCATCATCGAGAGATCCTTTTTCTTTTTTCTTTTTTTTTTTACGATTTCTGCTCGATTCAAACGTGCAATTTTGCCCAACGATTACTTTTTGTTTACGAAACCAACGTTTTTTGTTGTTGGGCTTGCAAACGCGTGGGAGGAGCTTTGGAAAAGCTTGGTATGTGTATATAATATACGGCTCCGTGCTTTTTCGGCGTCACTCCAAATCCGTAATGGAGCCACGAGGGGGGGCATTTCGCAACGCTCGGGACGAGCTCTATACGAATGTTGAGTCTGCGGCCGATTTTATCTATAATAGCTCGGCCACTCGTTAATTTTGTCGGTCCATGCGCACAGAAGTGCGTTTTTTTATTTCTGATAACCATTGGGTTTACCAATTGAAGTTACTTTTTTTTTTGTTGTTGTACCAATAGCCGTATATATGCAGCCGACACGTGACTCGGCGAATTTGGGCTGGTATAGATGTTTTAAAAGTTAATTAGTAAAAATAGTGCTACCCGGTTCATTTTTCATGTACCAAGGACGGGCGTTCTTTTTATAAAAATTGTGCAACAATGTGACGTCAGGACACATCAGGCGCGCAGTCGAAAATATCTTTGCAAAATTGTTACAATGCGGCTTATCTCTCTTTTGGGTGTTCTCATGTGTGTATCGGTATCTACAGTGTACATGTATTTACTTTGCAAATTGATAAAAAGCTTCATTGTTTTCAAAAATAACTTGCCACACCGTTTCATTATAATTTCTGCCATTGCAACAAATGTGATGGAAAAAGAAGAAAGAAAAAAAAATTAGTTATTTTGTGCTGCTTTTGTTGGATAAAAAGCATCAGTACACGCTTCCATGAGCGTGCAACAAATTAAAAATCTACGAAATTAGCGGTATTTTTCCCCCAAACACAATATCCCTCCGAGAGCGTCTTTTGTTATGTTAATAATCAACTCGTTGCGAGGTACTGTCGAAAATAAATCATTTGCACACGCCACACCGATTCCACATGCTCCGTCTTTTCCTTCAATGTAAACAAAACAGATAAGAGCAGACAAATTACTTTTTTCTTTTTTTTGATACGTAAGGTACGAATTATTTAACGTGTAATAGTTTTTTTTTTTTTTTTTTTTTTTCTTATCAGCGCTAAATTGTTTTAATTCCCCGTTGGTTTGAAATCTTTTTTACGAGTCCAAGTATACGCCGAGTCTATGTAATCACACGAAAAACAGAGATCCCCCGAAAATTTATCTTTACCATACATACAAGAGTATTTATGTAAGTACCTATCGTAGCGAGGGCCTCGCAGCTCTTTATATATATTATATACACTCTCTTTCAAGTACTGTATAAACAAAGCGTGTAGGTACAACCTTACATAATTATCACGCGCACGTGGTTTAGTTTTAAATACCACAATTTTGATGTTTACATACTTACAGATAAAAATTGTATAACAAATGATTCTCGGTATCTGCTTCGCTTTGGGGATCTTTTTTTTCTCGCCACACTCGATAAGTACATGCACGGGCGGTCCGAAAAAAAAAAAAAAAAAAATTGGACGTATAAACCCCAACGTTCTAAAAATAAGAGCACCAAAGGTAAACACTCGAAGCTTGCCGTGAACCCTAAACGAGTAGCATTGTCGCGCCATTTCTTCGCGACTGTGCTTTTAAACTACCCGATCGGTGATCGAATGAGGGTGCGACGAGGGCCTTGTTAGGCTGCCATACACACCCCCGCAAGGCCCGAGTTACAGCCTGATTAGATTTCCTAGGGGTGCTGTTACACTTTCTCGCGACAAACGCAAACGAAACCGGAGCGCTTCGCAGTGCAGAGCGCAAGCTCCGATCCTCCCGCGAGTTTTATTTCATTGACACCGTAAGGTATACGCACTTGCAGTGTACAATGCACTGCTCACGTGCACTGCGCTTAACAAAAGAAAAAAAAGGAGCAAGAAAACGAGAGTTTCGTCGTCTCCGGGGGCTTTAATAAGTAAGCACATATATTATACTCTTGTACACTCACCGGAAGCAGCTGTTTCTGTCGGACCAACAAACGCTAGGTAGGTAGGTTGATGTATAGGTATACGGCTCGGGCTGCAGCAACGGAGCGTTATATATATGCACACTCTTCTGCACACTTCTGCTGATGGTATATATTATATAGCTGCAGTTGTTCCCTCTGAAAAGAAAACCTCCGTGCGCTCCCTCCCTCTTGCTCTTTTCTTCTTTCCTCTAGTCTTACTTATCTCCCTCTCCTTTTCGGCTCACGAAAATTCCTCGGACCGTCGTGTTGCACGCACCTCTCAAGACTTTCTTCCCTCACTTTGACTTGACTACTTAATCCTCCGGCTTATTGTCCTTCGTATGAATAAGGTAATAAATGTTTATACAGCAAGTACTTTCACCAAATATTCTTCGAAGCGCACTGGCTCTTCGTATAAATTTAATTGTATTTTCTTTACAACAACGTCGAATCTTTAAAAACGTCAGTTAATACATGTATACGATGTCAAGAAACGACCTTACAGCACCAAAATGTATCAGAAAAGTGTAAAAAAATATACAAGTACTAGGGGTGCGGAACATGTGATTAAAAAACAACGCGCACCGCCGTTTCGGAGCTCCCACGTGCGAGTGTTCAAGCGTGTATATCTGTATTATATGTGTACTATACCAATGCGTGTATACACGTATAATATACACGGATACGTGAACGGTGCGCTCGCACTAAATGTGTGTGTGTACACGCGGTAAGCTGAACACAACGATCCGACGACGACGACGGCACGCAACTGCTAGTGGTACCACGGGCACCGATGATGGTTGGTGCTTCTTGTTGCTGCGGTGCATGTGACGCCCGCCGCTGCTGCCGATCACTAGAGCGAGCGCCACCGAGTTTCGGCGCGCTCCGCCGGTACCGGTATAAACCCCCCCCCCTCCCCCAAGCTGCTTGCCCATTGGTTGGTCGGTGTCCCGGACTCCACAGTTTTTTTTTTTTTTCCTCTTATTACTTACTTACTCTGTACGCAAGTACGACACACATGCACCAAATGTTGAGGAGAACGAGTCAATTTCGTGAATTCTTTCCAAGCTTTTTATTTTTTTTTAATACAAAGGGATGGTCAATTATTTTGATAATCAGTAGGTTTCATCAAGTACGCCTAAGGCACTTCATACTTATGTCAATCTGTCAGATCGTTTCAATGGGTGAAGGTGTGTTGAATGACAGCAAATTTGTTTCAAAGCAATACCAATAAGGGTTTTTCGTTGAAAGTTTTTCCTTTACAACAAAAACAGGTCTCTTGTTATTTTATTTATTATTATTATTTTTTTTTTTTTCAATGGTGTGGTTTTTGCAAATAACTTTCGCAAAGCTTTACTAATTTTTCGTTCTAATAAGTGCCATGGAAAAACTGCGATTACCTGTATAAAAACTTTGAATTTGATGAAAAAAACCACACGAAATGTGGGCTGAATTGTGTGACAAAATAATCAACATGAAAATGTATCACTTGGGGAAAAGCGATGAAAAATTACCCCTGTAGGTGTGCTGTGTTGAGTATTGTATAACCTTGCGCGTGTGCGCACATTGAATTTAATATAAAGCAGTTGGCACGCGTGCGGCTCTTCCTACGTTCTCTTTGGCTGCACATGTACTTCCTTGGTTGTAGTCGATATGTTATTGTTTGCGGCTTTCTTTATCCCTGTTGCTTGGGGATTTTTTTTCTTTCATTTAGTTCTCCCCGTGAATAGACTTACCTCAATAAAGGGGGTGCGAAGTTGCGTTACACGAAAAAATTGGAACACAACGTTTGTTTTCTAAATTTGTCCCTTTTTTTTTTTTTTTCACTGAAATAATGTAAAAGTTTACTAATTATAACATATGTTGAAGACTACATTTCTGTCTTTATGGATACTCATCCAGTATGAACAGCCATAAAGTAATTGACGATGTGAAAATCGATAAAATTTCATTAAATCGTCTAAAACATCGGTAAACGACTATAATGTATAAAAAAGGCAATTTTCGGCGGCAACATAAACGCAATATTCAGAGTTTTTTTCGACATTACAACTTTGTGTCAAAACGTATTCTCTGAAGATTTATACATTTTTGGATTTGTCAAGCCTAGTGGGAGCTTTTTACGAGTTTTTCTGGTCCCTCTCGTCGTTAAGCCAGTTTTCAGAGGCTCCCTGTACTTATGCTTCCCCATACTAAAATAAAAATAATTTATCAGCGAATCATGACTTTTTATTTGCCCAAAAGCCAAGCGGATGTGGTAATTATTATAATCCGACACGAAAAATCGGCGCTTCGAAATGATATACATTAGGCACCTCTAAAAAAAACAATGAAAGCTCATCTTTACCACGTGGCATAGTAGCAAGTCGTAGCATATTAAAAGAAAAAACGTAACTTGCACAACGTGTCAAAAGAGACAACCGAAGATGTGACTCTTCAAGTCATTAGAGACACCCGAGACGGTCCGACCATGCTATATACATGTGACGCGCGTAGGTGGGATTCACGCATCCCTTTAAATAGCAAAGCTTGCGTGGGTGTATGCATATATAGGTTCTTGAATTTGAAAAGACACCAGTGAGTGCACGGTTGTCTCCCCTATATCCCCCGCACGCGAAAACGTATGTTTGGGACCATTGACTTGGGAGGAAAAACGTGAAGACGAAAAATAAAGAGACCGTTTTCCCTTAGTGTATTAGGTAAGTACAGTAGTTTTTGGGGCCAATTTTCCACGTCAGAGCTACATGGAGTGCATACAGGGAACAGCCATACGTGTATCCAATCCGGCTCGGTTGTAAAAGGAGCATCAGCTGTTCGAATGATGTATACGTATTATCGCTGTTGGACGACAGATGTTCAGCAACCTGGAACGGTGCACGCGCTTCGCTGTATTTATAATATGTATAGGTACACCTACCTCGTACATATATATATATGTGGGTACACGTATCCGAGAACCTCCTTCTCTTCTCTCTTTGTGCATTTACGCGCCGCGTGTCCCGCGATTCGCGAGCGCGCACCTTCTCTCCTTTATGCAGTTTTATGCTGATGCGGGGCTTTTTTTTTCTTTTTTTCATTCATATAATACTTGCAACGTTTTTTGTCATTCCGAAGTGGGATGAAGTTACCCGTGAAGCTTTCGCAGGACGAGGCTTCTTGCGTTTTCAACCGAAAATTCATCTGTTCCGTAGTTTGGATCGTTATTATTTAAAAAAAAAAATCGGTTGTCACTTATATTATACATTTATTACGAGTGCCATGAACAAGGTTTAACCGATTTTTTGCTCGTCCATACCGATCATCCACCAGCAATATGGTCGACCGATTCTTCTGCAATCGGGTAAAAAACTCGAAAAAAAAAAAAATCATTTCCTCTTCTCGTTCGAAAGCAATTGCGAGACATTGCGAAGTAGGGAGACAGTTGTTTGTATCCATGGGTTGGCGGGAGGAAGGGGATGGAGCGAAGGGACGGACAACACGATCGCAGGAAGAGGCAGCTCACGAGCGCACGCACGGGTATATAAATATGTGTGTGTATGATGGCTATTACATAAAAATGCGCAACGCGTGAAAAGCAGGTTAAATATTTTTTTTTTTTTTCTTCATTTTTTACTCTTTGCCCCGCGTACATGTTTTACTTTCGAAACTGCAAATGTTTTTCAGCAAACTACACCTGCATCTCATCGGTCACGACAACGAATTAAGCTGGAAAATAAAAATCATATACGATCGACCGATGGAATTGTGACATGTACCTACAGCGTGGCAATAGCTAATTCCTGGCTGTACACAATAAGTACACGTTTCGATGGAAAAATAAAAAATTCAATTTTATAAGGTACCTATAGTTTCCCAAAAAAAGAGAGAGAGAGAGAGAGAGAGGCCGGCATAGCATCAGTATATAGTGGACAAAAAAGGGGCAAATGGCTCGGAGGCCCCATTGTCACGATGCCCGTGATCCTCGTATATATACATCCCCGAGCCGCACGAGGTCTCAAAGGGTGCGGAGCCCATGGTCTACTCCCCGCGCATATATATATTTCACAGTGCCTGTACTGCACATCATACCTATACACCGTTTAGCCACGCAAACTTATATACAACATTATAATAATACATATACGTGTAATAAATGTATATATGCATGTACACATGCACGTGCGCGCATTTCTCTCTCGTTCGCTTTTTCTCTTTGCTGTACACACGCTCACTCGCTTCGTCTCGCACGAATGCGAGGTCTCTCTTATAATATACGGATAGGAGGAGGAAAGACAGCTGTGGGGCAGCTGGCAGCACGTGCCGCGGACCTATGGGGTCTCTCTCCTTTTCTATACATCGCGTATAAGTATTACAGAAAGAAACACACACACACAGCCCAGTGGGCCCTCTGCTATACTATGTGTATATATACCACGCTCCGATGCGAGGGTAGTTGTGTACATACCGTGTACATCTGTGTGCGAGGAGTTTCCTATGGGTGCGTTCCTCCTCCTCCTCCTCCTCCTCCTCCTCGCCACCTTGGAGCTGGCTCTTTTCGATGTGCCGTACTTTTGCCGCTTGTGTGTTTTATATTTTTTTATATACCTACGTGGGCATATACGCGCAAGTAAAGTATATCCCGTATATACGGTGTACGTCCTGTGCAAGCGCGAGGAAAAATTTCTCCTTTTTCGATTCCTCCGAAGAGCGCGCGGAGGGTATATATATATATTTGTATATATGTATCGTTACATTAGACGAAAGAGAAATTACGTTGTTAAGATATGAGCAGCGTATGATTATTTTCGATGAAATTTCTTCCAAGATGTTTTACCGTCCGTTTGCTCGATTTGTTCCATGCGAGACGAGACAAGTGTGAGCGTCGATTCGATAAAACAACAAATCCACCCCCGTCTTCGGGGTTGAAAAAAAACTGTTTGTTTTCTCTGTAGTCTGGTACAACGACTGGTTCATCGTGCTTTATGAGGGTCGTCAAAAAAAAAAAAAAAAAAATAGTCATCCATACATTTTGTGGTTTTAATACAAAAAGCTACCCCCAAATAAATTAAACTGCGATGAATCGTGATTCACTAGGCATGCCATGTTATAATATCGGCACCAAACCTATTTTAGCTTTAGTATTTAAATTCCTCTCGACGCGGCGGTGCACTTTAGTACTTTGTGCGTGCACTAAATCTAAAGCACATAACATATCAATAGCCCCACACACGCGCATTTTGTTAGCAGCGGCTAATCCAGTCTGTATATAGTCCATATTATATCGAGCTCTGTATGATTGTATACACGTCACATCTTACATCGACCCACATCGTGATGCCCATAACCGCGTGTGATCCGTTGAACGGCGTACAGGAGACGGAAGATCGTTAACAATTTAATTGAAAACCACCACTTTGTTGTTTCCCTAAGTATAGATACCAAGTTTGGTACAGATTTGAGAAAAGATCATAAGTACACGCGTATAATGTGTCAAAGATGAGCAAATCCCCAAAAAGACTCTCGCAAATCAATATGCGCCTACGAAGTTTTCATGCGACGCGGGTAGTTCCACCCTTTCCCAATCCGTATAGACTTATGCGATTCATGTATTAAGCATAATACCCATTGAGTCCTCTCGCTTAAAAGGTGAGAAGCGTCACGCTTAAGTAAAACACGCCGGTGCATAATGCATATAGGTGTACGCATTATGTACGTATATCTGTCGCTAAGGGCCCGATGCAGGAGAGGAGAGAGAGCCTTCACTCGCTGCCGAGGCGGAGACAGAGAGAGAGAGTTGCGGTTTCCCATCCGGCTCGAGAGAGAGAGAGCCGGCGAACCGAACAGGAAATAGTCCTGAA